TCTGATTCCCATAAAGTTTGGAAAATGTTTTTCGCGGCTTTTCCAAAGAGTTTGTTATTTTCAGTTTTTTTTCGAGCACTTTGGCGTTCGTTTTCGCGACGTTTTGCAAATCCTCTGTGTAAATATTTCTTATTGCTTTTAACCATAGCAGCAACACAGCACAACAGCACTTCTAAGCAGATCCAAACAACAACTGCATAAACACAAAGTATTACAACAACAGATACAGATGCAGGGGCAGCCATTTATTTGATTTTGTATTGCCCTGTTGTTTCCCAGAACACAGCCCCACTAAAATGAGTTCATTAAAAACTAATAAAACTCGAAACATGATAGATGAAAAATAAAAGACAGAAAGCAACTACCGACTACAGGATTACCCGCCTAGTAGTAAGAAAATTATCTGATTGGAAGGTTTAAAACTCGATTTTTATCGAATAGATTCAACTGCGTTTCAGTGGTGTTCAGTGTTTATTTTGAATTCCCTTTTGCAGCATTCGCTTGTGCGTGTCGAGCATCAATGTGTAGCGTCATGAGGGAGAGATGGGAGCATATCACAGATACATAGATAGGCATGTAAAAGACTTTACTTACAAGTGTTCCTTAACCAAGAATAAGTGTGTTTTCAACTGCCCATATATACCCTTGCACTTACATGCACAAAGATATTAAAATGTAATATTTGTTTCAGACACTCTTACACTTTCGAAGACATGCACATGCATGTACGATTGTGGGCATGCCAATTTGTACGCACATAAAGAAACGGCAGGCACAGGCATACCTATAACAATATGTCACAATTTGTGGGGATGGAGAGTGCCGCGCCAGAAGTCTATAGACTACAGGCAGCCCCATAAATTTGATTAAATAAAGTTATAGTTTTTGCGCTTTTTGACGGTGCTTTCTCTCGCTCTCTCTGCCTCTCTGTGCAGTTTGTGTGTCGCGCTGCTCTTTCTCTTGTGTTCTCTGGCTCGCCCCGCATTCATTCGTTTTGTTCGTCTTTCTATTTGGCACAAGGAATGCGACAAAAACTATGTTAGATGAACAAGCAATAAACCATAAATTTCTTGTCAGCCTACAAGAACAACAAACACAGCACAACAACCACAGCCATAGCGGTTAAACGTTTAAGGCTTGCCTCTTGGTCGGAAGAATCTGTAAAAAGTCCGAGAGAGAGAGAGAGAAGGATGGAGGGCTGAAAAAGGCAAATTAAAAGCGAAAGAAGAGGAAAGGAAATACTGAGGTGTGTTTTTTGCATTGCCCAGGGCTGGCCATAACGTATAAATTGTTAGTATTTTCTTTGGTTTTGATAAAACTTTGGTTAACAATGTGGTTCTTATCGTTTAACCCTGGACGAAAGGGAATAATTTAATTTTCTGTATATATAGTACAGTCGAGTGTGTTTTTATTTGAAATCTCTGGAACTCTCACTAGATTGAGTGTAAAAAAACAGTTTTTACCTTTATAACTCAAATATTGAGCTACCATTATTCGCTTTTCTCAATAACTCAAACAAAAGTATAAAGAGCATAAATACAAACAGATTTTAAAATATTATTTAAAATATATATAAAAAAAATGATCAACCTTTTATTATTATATAAAAATCTATAATTAAAAATATACATTTAAAAAAAAACACACAAAATAAAAAATATACGAATAAAAATAAATTTTAAATAAATAATAAAATGAAAAAATTAAAAAATACATTAATACAATTTAAAAAATTAAATAATATAAGAAACCGTCATACAAAAAATTCATTTAAAAAACACGTGAGCTAATGTAAAAATTTTACTTAAAAAATTTAGATTAATTGAAATAAAATGTACAGGAAATGTTATTATTGGAATGGGATTTGTGTGGTAATCCTTTTTTATATTTTTGTTTCTCTAACACGTCAAGCGACAGGTCCCACTGTACTTGTAAATATGAATGATTGCATCTTTTAGGTAATAGTAAAACATTTTATCTTCTGGATGTAAGCTTAAAGAGACAGTTACAATTTGGACCATGTCGGAAGCCCTGGCACCTGTACGTGCATTTGTGTATGTGTGTGTGTGTGTGTGTTGTATAAATTTGTAATATTTCTCAGCTGTGGCCCCATTGCCGTCCGTCTGCCAGCTTGCAATATGCTTCCCTGTGCTGCCATTTCTCTCTCTTGGACACTCTGTTCTCCTGCTCTTTTTCTCTGTAAAGTTTTTTTGTGTGTGTGTGTGTGAGTGCTGTCCAAAGTGACAAAAGCATTTTCGGCGAGCACTGGGTGGCTAAATGCGAAGGGTGCTGAGGGGGGGCTTTCACTTGGTGGGGTAAATGCGGCACCGCGACTCGTGCATGTAACATTAATGGTATACCCTTGCGGGAGGGGTATTCTGATTTTGATTTTTGCATTCGATTCGGAGCGAAGATTTGAAAGATGATCATCGCGTCTCTGCTACAGAAGTTTCTGTGCAAAGAACATTTTCTGCTCTAAAATGGTTGATATCTGACTTTAAAAAAAATATGTTTCTTGAACTAAATAAATTTAAATATTAGATGTATTCCTAGTTTCCAATTAAATTTACTAATTTTCAGAATAGTCAACTTGCTAGCTGTTTGTAAAAAATTCATGTTCTCTCTGCCATATTGCCATATATAAAGGGTACCAGAAGCTTCTATTCCAGGAGACTTGCACAATAAATTGTTAGTGTAGTTGTTTTCCACAGATGTGTCTGTGTGTGTAGTGTGTTTGTGAGTGCGGAAAAATCTAAATTTCTTTGCGCTTAATTTTTCCACAGACAGAACAAAAGGCGTACGGGCCAAGCACGCAGGCAGGGAGAAAGAAAGAGGCAGGAAAATGACAGCAGATGGCGAAAAGAGAGACGTAAACAGACTCGTAATTTAAATACAGTTATGTACAGTACGAGTTTATGTAAAGGCTGGCTGACTGACGGATGTGTGTGCCTGAATAAACGGGGAAACGGAGGAGCGTGCGTTGACATGTCGGCGCGATAAGGATAAAGAAATTGTCCGTTTGGATGACTCGTTTAATCAGCTGATAAGATTGTGTGTTTATTCTTTACGCGTTTTGTAATACATCCGCTAACAAAACATACTCTCTCTCTCTCTTTATATACTACAATTACACAAATATGTTTGTATGGCCATTTTAGTCCCCAGTGTTATCAAAACATACAGACATACTCGACGATAACAATACTGCTGTCGAGCTGTGTTGCCAACAAAATCCAACAAGTTAATGGCACAAGGTTGCATCATGGCCAGGTCTTGGGGGGTGATAACGGGCGGGATTATGCAGTTCAAACCGGTCCCATCATTGACGTCATTGTTGACGGAGGGTTCTTGGCTTGGCTGACGATGCAGTTCATACCAGACTGGCATTGACGTCATCGTTACGGTTATCTATGTATGTAGACCAACTTTTGATCAAAAGAAGAAATTGAAAACATACCACCGTAACGGCAGCGTAGGAAACGTTATTTGTTGAATCATTTCCTGGAAATTCGACAAACTGATGCATTAGTCCTTGAAAAAATGATGACTTAAGATGCCTTATGGGAGGAACCCAATTAAGAATCCAGCTAAAACCAAACAAAAATCATAGCTTGATGTATTTTTCGATTTTTGGAGATTAATTAATTTATTTTCAGAATAATCAACTTGCTAATTCAGTTAAATCAAAGACTCTAAAATTCCAAATGTCGCATCAGTAACAAATTTCCATCCCATTTTCGTTAGATGCTTCGCAAATTTGCTGTGTTAAGCCCAAGCAATGTATGTATTTGTTTTTGTTTTTTGGGACCGAGCCTCGGTGTAATTGTGCGCGGTTCCCAAACTACAGTGTATTTTGATATTGGATTTTCTGGGGAAAATATTCATCAGCGCGTTGAGCATAAATTTCATGCAGCTGAAATTAATGTTGTTTCTGTAATTCTAGGGCAATCTCTTATGCAGAATTCGCTTGTGCAATGGTCTATTTTACTGCTGCACAAGCGAATGCTGCAAAAGAGAAATAGTGCTGTAGTGTTTTTTTCTAAACTCGTTAATAATGACAGCTTCTGTTTTGTTGTACAAGTGAACATAAAATATTCTATCTTCTTTCTCGAGCTCTTACATACATATCTCATGGAAATTTAATTGTGGGACTGCCCTTGACTATCTTGCCTATCCAGCTTTCTAGTCACAACACTCTTCCTTTTAAATATTTACATACATACAATTATATTTATTCTCTTCTCAAAAAAAATTGTCTCTCAACTCTCTACAACTCCAAATTGTTTCCCCCCACTCTCTCTATCTGCACACACAACGATTATATATGTCTTATTTGCTGTCCCCTCCCACGAAAACTATCGATTAAGTTACGGTAAATCACTCAGTGTGTAGTCCAACCAATGCCCATTTATCGATACATAAATTAATGTTAATTTCCAGTATTTACGCAAACAAATTTTCTCGGTTATAATTCTATTTAAATTCTATTTGGTTTTTTTTTTTTCGTTCGGTTTGTGTTTGTTTTTTACTATGAAAATATGTACACACATACATATGTAAGTGTGTTTTATTAGCCCCGAAAGCATACGAATTTTGATCAAATATATTCCACAACATTGATATATATACATTGTACTATATATTTTGCAACTTGGCGCTGAAATCAAATAATCGCTCGTAACTACAGGATCAACCAGCAAATAAATCCAAACATAAAAACGAAAAAAAAAACCTAAAGAAAAATCCACCTAATTATAAGCCCACCATTAATCGTTAGCACAGAGCTACTATCTGATTAGATTAGATTAGATTATATTATATATTAATTATATTCTAGATTTCTTTTGGGTTTCAACTTTTATTTCGATTTGTGCTTTTGGTTTTCTATGTTTGAACCGAATCAAATAGTTGTAACCGATCTTGTTACTGATCTCTGTGTAATATCCCATCCGTGACCCCCTTAAAAATGCTGCTGCTGGTTGTTTTCACCATTGGAGTAGCCAATGACCTTCTGGTGGATAACAGCGATGAGGGTGGAGCCTCTGCCAGCTCCACAGAGTTGTTTGAGGTGACGCCAGCCATCTACTACGGCGACTCGAATGTAAATCTGGGCGAACCCTTCTCGATAACCTGCATCATACCGATCACGGAGAAGATACATTGGCTCAAGAATGGGGAGCCCATAACGCGTCACAATCTGCGGCATGGACGGGACGAGCATGCCTACACTTTGGCGGAGAGCGCCATCGAAGGTGAGTATCTCCTAGCTCCGCGGGCGGGCGGGCGGAAATGTGGATCCCGATCTGACCTGAACTTTCTTCGACCGACTTGAAGGTGAGAAGCACAAGATCGAGGCGCATCTGAGTGTGCGGCATGCACTGAAAGTGCACGAGGGACGATACCAGTGCAACCATCGACATGGCAGCTACCACATGCTGCACGTACGGGGTGCAGTATCGCCAGGGGGCGGCGAGGCCACAGAGTCTGGCTATCAGACCATTGACGAACTCACGCCCAATTCGGCGGATGACATCTTTACGAGAACGTGGCTGGAGCAGCAGCAAACGGGAGTGGCGGTGACGCCCACGCATCATCAGCAGCAGCCAGAGCAGCATCAGCATCCGTACCAGCACAAGCAGCACAAGACGCATCCGTTCTATGGGAATGCCAGCAGCAGCTCACGGGGGGAGCTGCCTGGAGGGCTGTATGCCCCAGTTCCGCCACCCACCAGTCGGTACAACGATCTGACCACACTGCCCTGGCATCCATCCTCGACGGCGACGGGTGTCCATGGCCTGGGGGGTGGTGGTGGCATTCATCGTGTTTACTCGGCCACGCCGCCCGATTTCCCGCCACCACGCTTCAACATGATGGAGCACACTGTGGCACCGCCAGAGCCACCCACCATACTGTACAATCAGACGGTGCCGCATCACCGCCAGCGTCCGCCGATTCCAGCTATTGTCACTGCCACGGCCACTGATTCGAGTGCCGGCTCCCCCTCATCTACGCTCCTGTCCACGGCGCACCATCACTCGCACCACCAGCAGCAGCTGCAGCAGCAGGCGCAGCATACGTTGAATGCCTTCCAGTTGCCACTGCCACCGCCGGTGCCGTATCCAGCACAGAGTCCAGCAGCTCCAGCTCAAAATGAGAGATATCAGACATATGCGCCGCACTTTGTGCCACCAGCTGTGGGGGGTGGTGCAGCACCAGCACCAGCAGCAACAACAACAACAATCGCATCGATGGGTGGTCAAATGAGGCAGCAGCCCAAGATGGTCTTGCCTGTTAAATTGGGTGAGCCACACACACACACAAACACACACACACACACGCACATACACACGCTAATACTTATTTAAAGTTGATCTTGTAATTTGTCCACATTTGTTGTTGTTCGTTTGTTGTTATTTGGCTTTGAAACGCTCTCTCTCTCTCTCTCGCAAATAGTGAAGAGTACTACGTCATACGCTGCAAAAACGTCGTCATTACCCCCTCGTCTCTCACTCTCGCTCACTGTCTTATATATTTGCCACTTTTTACAAAACCGCATTGACATCAGATAACGTGCAAGATGTATTTATATGTGAGGGGTGAGGCTGGCATGGTAGCCATGCTCTCTGTGTAGGAGCGCGCTCACTGGCAAAACCTCACCTCATATAAAAAAAATACCTTGAGCCCATCAGCTTACGCATCTCTACATACCACCCACTCACAACCACTCCCTCGCTCTCTCTCTCTCTCTCTCTCTCTCTCATTCGCTCGTTCTATCCCTCTTATGTTCCCCTCCATTGCATCAACCGCTAGTATAATTTTTCGGTGTTGTTGGTTTTTTATTAATCTGTTAATCGCTCGCCTAGCTGCTAGCTCGTTCGCTCTTGTTCTCCGTGTCTCTCTCTCTCTATCTCTCTCTCTCTCTCAGTGGTTTACCCTGTTTGCTCTCCGGCTCTCCTCACACATAAAACAACACAACCACACCTACACCCACACATATGATGACACCTTTAAGTTTAAGCTTCAGTTTCTGTGTGTTTGCTTGAACCTTTTCCAACAATCGTTTTCCTTTTGTTTTTGCCAATTCATCTTTTTCGTTTTGACTTTATTTGTTGTCGGCCGACTGTCTGTCTGTTTATACCCTTTCAGAAGATAGTATCAGTTGAAACGTAGGGTAGTTGCGGACCCCATAAGTACAAAATATTTTCATATACTTATGATATAGCCAGGTTGTTCCGTCTGTCAAAATCTCACTAATTCATAGAAACGTAACATATCGTTTAACTTATCGTTTCTGAATATAATTACAATAATAAAAATAAACTTTCGAACCTGTGGCTTCATTTGTTTTTACATAACTGACTTAAAGTTGATTAATAAATTTAGTTCACCACAGCTGCCATATTATATCGAATGCCTTTTATCATAAGTATATATTACAAATGTACATACGTAGCTGCTATCTTCAAGGGTACCATAAGCTTCGACCTCCGAAGCCAGATTTATTTGTTCTCTGTTTCCCTTCTTTCTCCTTTCTGCCTTTCTTTCCTTCTGTTTCTCTTTGTCCTTGTGCTTTAGTTGTTTACTTTGGTTGAGCACACAGCTGGCAGGTGCACCAGCGTCGTTTTCGTTTTCGATTTCTGTTTCAATTTGATTGGCAGCCCCCACTTTACAATGACGCATCATTTTACAATTGGCAACGTTTTGTGATTGGCCTTGGCTAGCTTATAGATTATCCATCCGTTGGCCAAAGATTTACCGCCGATATGGAAACCTAACAACGGATATAAGAAACACGTAATGTCGAGAACTGTACGAGTAATGACACTTGCTGGAAACTTTTACTTGAAGGACATAGAAAACTGCTTTTTCAATGCCTTGCTTATATTATTAGTTTGGTCAACAGCTTCACAGAAAAGCTGCTGGTTTTTTAAACAATCAATATACTGCTTTTTAAGATAAATCCTTCCCCTCTCTGCTGCTTTCTATTCTAATATACAAAAAAGCTGTGTTCCAAGCAGCATTCAAATTATTCTTCTGGTTTTCAGATTAATACACTGTCATTAACTTAAACTGCTTTCTAGATCATTTTCATTCGATCTGCTACCAGACAGCTTTAAAATATTGTAGTTACCTATTTTCCAGAAAACCAGTGCTAGAAAAACTTCAAAAACTGTTCTATTAGTGTTGAGACCTAGTGCTCGACCTAGTACTCGACAATCAAAGAACACAAATTTTCATATAATTATTTTCTTTCGCTCACTTTAGTGTTAGAATTTCAACTAAATGTCATATGCGTTTTTCTTGTTGCTTCTTTTACTTTACGACCGAAAGGTCGATGACCGATGACTCGAACTCATTATGTTAACTAACATGTATGTCGTATATCGATCAATTTATAAATCAATCAACTATTGCTCTACTATTTTACATTGCAGCTAACTTAACCAATTAAAATTATACATAAAAAAAGAAAAAAAAAACACCACAACCAATCAATCAATCAATCAACATAAGCGTAAATAATCGATAAAGTAATATCTAAACTCTCATCTGCAGCGTAAAAGTCAAATTTATTTGATTTCAGACCAAGTTTCAAAATAGTATCAATAAATATATACCTATACATATACTCTTACCATATGTTAAACAGAGAACCAAATAAATTCGATTTACACCCAAAAATTGTATGCTCTTTTATTTGATTTGATTACTTAGTTTTAGTTAATTATATATATATATTATTTCTAATTTATTTTGCCTCCCTCGTCTTTTGTTTAGTCTTAGTGAATTGTAAATTTAGTTGCTAATTCCTTATTATTTCCATAAGCAAATATTTAGTAAAGAAAAAAATACAACCAGAAGCCTAAAGCTCTCATCTCTCAGAACCAACCTCAGAAAAATCTCAAAAAATATAAACAAAAAAAAATCTAAAAAAACAGCCACCTCTCATACTTTAAGCTCGTTCCTCAATTTATTCCTATATCCATTTTATACATACAAATAAATATTATTAAAAATATATAATTCTTTATGTAAACGTTTTTCCTGTATTAGAATGCATTTATCTTCACGACGACGACGCCTTATAAATATCCAACTAATTTGTTTCTTTTATGTTTGTTCTATTTCTTGACCTACTATAGATACGTTGGTGCCAAATTATGACAATGTCGAGCATCAAATGAAATTTTATGATATTAGAGGGCCACTGGTGCTCAGCTGCAATGTGAAGTCCGAATCAACGGACCCGCTTATATGGTAAGTCATAAAAAAAATACTATACATATACCATTACCCCCCCAAAAAATGCCATCCAAGGGATGGCACTGAAAGTGGAGGATGGAGAATGTCTGTGCCCCACATAGTTAGTAGTTATAAGAGCAATCATTTTAATACGGCACAGCTAAGCACTTTTGCTTAATTATGTTGGCCTGACTGACTAACTGACTCTTCTGGGCTGACTGCCTGCCTGACTTGACTGACATAACCTGGTAACAACGTTCCGTTCCATTCCGTTCTCCTCTGTGTGGTTGAGTGGTGGTTGAGGTTCGTTCTGCAGTGGAAGGAGGGCCCTGGGGGTGTGGTGCCTGTAAAGTGCCTTCCTGTCTGTGACTGTGACTGCTGGTTGGGGCTCTGGCTCTGGTGTAATGGTAATGACACTTTTGTTCATTCCAGAACCCCTTGTCTGGGGGCCAGGGCCAGAAACTTTGCGTGCGCCGCCTCGCTGCGGAATTAGTCTTTGAATAATTGGCAAAAAAAAAGCAGCACCAAGTTCCTCCTCAAGGAGGTTCTTTCGCGCTCTATCCGATAACTGTAGAATTCATTTAAATAAATGAGTTTTTTTTTGCAAAAAGCTATCCGCTTGTTGGATAACTATTTAACAAAGATTTAACAGTGAGAACTTAACAAAGAAATGAATAAAATATACCCCTGGGCTTTTGCAATACAAATAGTTCCAGTGGGAACTATTTTTGGTTGAGATTGTAATTACATATCTAAATTTTGATGGTCAAAGGTAGAATTTCGCCCATGGGAACTGTCTGTCCGTCCAATAACGCAATCTTCACACACGAAAAAAAAAAACAATAAAGCAACTCATGTTGGCTTGAATCGTGTGTCGTGATGTACACGACATGTATTTTGTTTCTGGGCATTTTCCGTTTATGCGTCTAGCTGGGATCGGTTGTAGAAGAATTAATCTCGGGAGCAATGGGAGCTATTGGGAGAAATGTCTGTTGAGTGACCACAAATGCTTCCAGTGGGAATAATGTCCAACAGATGAGTACATAAAAGTTTGTGTCGTCCCCCCCACCAGAGCGTACCGTTCAATGTACCCACCCTGTTCAAGGTACCATATCTATTACCCAAAACTAATCCCTGATTCCATTTCCCTGTCTAGGAAAAAGAACCACACCGACGTGATGAACGTGGATGTGCTGAAGGGTCGCTTTAAGTTAATCAATGCCGAGAGGAAGTTCATCATCGATAGAGCGGAAGCGCACGACGATGGCCTCTACAGTTGTGAGTTCAATGGGGAGTCCAGGGATATCAATGTGGTTGGTAAGTAGAGCGATAATCCCACACAAATAAAATCAAACACTAACCGAATAATGGATTTTGTAACCTTCAGCTCGCGTTGTTGTACGAGTGCCTTCAAATACAGCCGTTGTGGAGGGTGAAAAAATGTCAGTTACCTGCACTGTCTTGGGTACTGAACCACAATTGTCATGGACTTTTGGTAAGCATTTGTTTGTTCTACTTCAATGATCTTTACGGAAAGTTTAATTTCCTGTTGTTCTTTTTTTGGTATGGCAGGCAATGTAACGCTAAAAAACAATACAGATCGCTTTGTACTGAAAACGGAGAACAATATTCAGAGCGCCATTCTGACACTGGACAATGTTACTCTGGACGATAGAGGCGAGTACAAATGCATTGGACGCAATGCGGCCAATGATTTTGGAAACAGCACTGCTGCCAGCGACTTTACAACTGTGCGTGTTAAGGGTAAGTCGATATATCGTATTGGAGATGGGAGGAGTATGGTCTGAACAATAATGTTTGCTACCGTCATGATGCGCTGTCAGATTTGGTCATTAAAGATAGCTATCGCTACATATATGTATGTGAAAAAGCAACAAAGTATAGAATAAAAATATTTAAGCCATTTTGGCAACAGATCGATCTCATTTGGCAAGGCCATGTATAACTATGAACTATCCCCAATATGATCTTTATTAATTTTTCGCTCTTCGCTTTTTAGGCAAATTTGCCGCCTTGTGGCCTTTCCTGGGCATCTGCGCTGAGGTGCTTATTCTCTGCTTGATCATTCTCATCTACGAGAAGCGACGCAACAAGAGCGAACTGGAGGAGAGTGATACTGATCCCCAAGAACAGTAAGTTTGCCAAATATCCAATCCGCCAATACAACAGCCACAACAACCAACACCACCACAAAACAAAAAAACAACAACAACAACAACAACAACAAAAAAGCAAACAACATCAACAAGAAACAACTGTCAAATCACAACAAATACAACACCAAATATTATTAAACACAAACAAAAAGAAAATGCAGCAGAAAAGGGAAAACAGAAAAGTTGAAATTTTTTAGATATACTATAAATACTGCAAATTAAAGACGTTGAAGCTGCAGTCAATGCAGAACAGACACAAAACAAAGCACCACGGAATTACGGAGACACAGAAGCAACGTACTTACATACGGACGGAGACAGAGACAAAGACAAAGAGACAGACCAGACCAGACCGACTGACGGACGGATGGCATGGACACGGACACAGCGGCAGCAGCTACAACAATTAGTGAAATTTTCTTAGTTTACAATTTTTTAATAATTACAAAAAAAAAAATAAAATAAAAACAAAATGGGGAAAACACCGATTAAAGTGAATGAAGAATAATGAAAGTTAACAGAAGAAGTTTAGAAATGGAATTATTTATATGAATAATCTTTGCAAATTTTTTGTATTATACGATGGAAAAATGGAAAGAGAAGATAATGTGAACACAAAGCCTAAACTTAAACTGGTAGATCTATTTAATTTCTTTAATGTGTGCTAAGCGATAAGGGATATATGCCTGAGCAGTATATATTTTTTTGATGCGCCCTGATAGACCTTTCTGACAAACGCAAAACGGAAACAGAATACACACATACACACACACACACACGCAAACACTACACTCAAGCAAACACACACACCCCAAGAGATGGACAAACAAAAAATATGTAGTTTTCTAGCTCTAAAATAATATAATTAATCGTATAATTCATCATAAATATCGCCGCCTTATAGTTTTCTTTTTGCCTTCTTCCAATGAAAAAAAATTAATAATAAAAAAAATAGTTTTTATATATGTTTTTCGCTGTGCTTGTTTCTGTTGCCCGAAAAAACACACACATACCTTTTCTTCTTTTTTATATCAAAGTCCAGTCCATAATATAATGATTATTATATCGTGTAAAAGAATACAAACAAAAATGTTATCAACTTTTGTTTTTAAGTACTTATTGTTTAATTGTATACATTAAAATACACCACAAATTTCGAAATTTGGAGAGATACGAAACCAGATTTAATCGTTACTTATGTATATTATAAATGACTATATAAGCTTATTAATTTCTTGGCAGTAAAACACATATACACACACTTGGCTCCACACCTTTTTGCATTGATTTTGAATAATAATTAGAATTATTTGTATATTATACACACACAAAAAAAAAAAAGAAGAGTATTTTGCCTAAGCCCGAGTACACCCAGTATCGCCAGTACCCCTCACACCCCCCGCCCCCCTAGTTTTGCGCACTTTACTCGTATGTTGTCGCCTCTGATTTTTTGTTGATTTCTCGCTGTGTATACATTTTTGAATGACTCTGATTCTATTGTATGAGTATATCTAGTATCTGAACACTTGTGCTATTGTTTACCGACTATTATTATCTTATTCATTATGATTTTGTGCGTTTTGAGATTGATTTCAACTGAAATATAAAAAAAAACAACAAACCAGAAAAAAAACAATTGTAAATTAAAAAAAAAAGATTTAAAAAATAAAACAAAACAAAACAAAAAAAAAAAACAAAAACCAAACAATCTGCATTTTTAATGTGATATTTATCTGTGTATATTTTTAATTTTTTTTCCTTAGATCCTGAGTTTTTTTGTTGCATAGAAGCTTGCTGTGGGGAGTACCCCTAATGATTGGATTTTGTGTTACTTTTTTATATCCTTCGGTGTATATGTATAGTGTATATTATTTTCTAAGAGATGCTGAGTTCTTTGCACTGCTTGCCGTGGAGTACCTCCAACGATTGGATTTTATTTCCCCTTTTTTTTAATGGATATCTATTGGTATTTTTGAATTGCTTTTGGTAACCACTGTGCGTGATTCGTCGTAGTCGATAATCATGGAAAGCTAATCAAACGTCTTCTCCATTCTTTTCTTATTTTTCCCATTAATATCCGTATAAATATAAACCAAAAATTTCCTTTGGGTAGTTGATCAAATTCATTCTCTACTCGTAGTTTAACGAAAATTGAATTAAAAGAAAAGCTAACATAGGAGACAGCCTGCAGCTTGATTCGATCGATTAATTGGTTGACTGTACTCTGCAAATCATCATCACAACTAACCTTAAAGATCCTCGCTCCCCAATAATCAATCAAAATCCAAAAATAAAAACCAAATTGCGATCAAATCACATCTTCAACCCGCCTTGACTAACAAAAATCTGATCCAAAATGTGCCCAGCGTCGTAACTAACATCAAGAACAACAACAACAACAACTCCAACAACAACAACAATCACAACAATAATTTATAATAATATATATGATAATAGCAATAGCAACAATAATAACAAAAACAACTACAAAGCAACTGCAACCAACCAGCAAACCAAGCTAGAAAAAAACAAAACAAAAAGTAGAATAATGTTTGTACTAACTAGTAACAAATTATGTATTATTTTATATTTTGAAGCATAGAATCTTTTATTGATTAATTGATTGCCGCTCTAATTCCCACTTTCTCTTTTCTAATTTTTAATCTTTAATCTTTTTTAAAATCAATTCCCCAAACAACAACAAACCAACCACAAAGAAAACTAATTCAATCGATTTTGCAATTTGTTTCTATTGCAGGAAAAAGAAAAGGAGAAATTATGATTAAATTTCCTAAACAGAACAGCATACAAAATAATACCAAACAAACAAAAAGAAAGAGTTAAAAAATTATTTAAATATTGAGCATAAACCAATAACAGAGAAGAAAAACCATGCATTGCATAAAATTACAATACATAAAACTAGCAAAAATGAGATAACAAATTGATGGTTCAAGAACATGCATACATACATAACATTATGGATAACAGTCGGTCACAAGAGCCTATACCCCCAACCCAACCCATCTTTCATCTGTCTGCTATCCCCTGTCCCCCGTCCTGTACAATTCCCAGAAACTGCAAACAACTTTTGTTTAGTGAAATTGTATTTTATTAAAATATGAAAAAACCAAACAATTAATGTTAAACAAAACTAAAAAGGAAACTAAAATTAATATTAAAAACGGAAGTGATAGCAGTTAAACGAACACTAAATGGAAATATTACTAAAAAAAAAAATAATAATATCGGAACTGTAGAAACTAACCTAAAAGAAGACACAGATCCCCACACTCCACTCCCCTCACTCCACACGACTCCTGTACCCACTATTACTCTCTATCTCCCCTGTCCTGCAAGAGAACAAAGAAAATAATATTGTACATAATCTTAAAAGTTGAATGAAAAATGGCAGAAAAAAGGAAAGAAAAATAAGGGAATTCTTCTGTATCTGTACTGTACGCGAACGCGAACCTACCAACGGCTCTCTCTCTCTCTCTCTCTGTCTCTATCTCTCTCTCTCTCTCTCAGTATCCCAGCAAGGATCTTTTCTATTACTATGATTTCTTAGGTAGCTATATTTTGAGGTTAGGTTTTAGATGGGCCACGTGGCGATCGATGCAGTAACAATAACAGCTAAAAGATGGAATAATGGCGGAGAATGGCAAGAGGAAGATCAGCCGCATCAGCAGCAGCAAAAGTAAAAGGAAGAAAAAGGAACAATGTTAAATGAGAAGACGATGTTAAAAACAACTTTGTTTATTAAACTTAGTTAATCTACATATATAAATAATGAAAAAAAATGATAAGGAGGATAAACTTTTTAAACAATTAAGTAGCGCGTTATGGGTATATTTTTAATGGATTAATACCGGAAGTAGTCGACGGATGAAGAAGCGAGAACATTGTATATTGCATAATTTTAGACGAAGAAAACAAAACAAAAACAAAAAACAAATATAAAATACATAAAGAAAGATGATGAGAAATCTGATGCGTACTGCCAAAACTTGTAAAGTTCAGTACTATTTGCTTAGCCTCATTTTTGGTAAACACTAAAAAACTAGCAAAAAACCAAAATCAAAACTCTGTTAATTCATTTCTGTTGTTGTTTATTTGGGTTGTTTAAATATAATGTAAAGCATTGTGTGTAAAAAAAAAAATGTGTGAAAACAACTATTACCTAAAGCGGTCTTCAATTCACATCTTAAACTCGTAATCATAAATAACATACATACATACATATACACATAATATAAAGATATAAACTCTAATATTTTTTTGTTTATGTTTCTGTATGTCCTTAAATCGTGTACGTTATTATTTTCCTTTGAGATCATTTTTCGCCGCCACCAAAGCTTTAAATATTTACATAGTAAACTGTGTTCTCAGTAAAAACCACAAAATTATAAGAAAAATGGGAAATGAATAAAATGAAAAAATTATGTTAAATGACACAAAGACGTGAGTACGGTACGAGATTTGTATAGTAAACTAAATAAAATAATAATAAACCAAAAGAAAACCCAGGAAAAAGTTCTTGTTATATGTACATATATAGTATATATGATTGCTATATACCAACATATAAAGCACGTGTGTGTGTGGCATGTTCGATTACCTAGATTATACTATATACAAATACGATAAAATAGCAGAAGAAGAAAAGAAAGGAAATGGCGTGGGTCATCTAGTGGGGTCAATAAATAGCCTAGAATGAGGAGACTTTTTGGAAAACCGTCGATAGAAAATTCTCGTGCATAAGTTTTTTATTCATGTACAATTGTTGTACAGTTTTTGTGGCTTATTTGTGTATAACAAAACTATTAGTGACAAAAGAACAACTACTACTTACTACTAACTACCATAATATACATATTGATCTATATTTGTGTATGTATGTACATTAAAAACGGGAGCACTTATGATCCTACTAACCTGCTATCCTATCAATATATGTATATGTCTGTACATGCCCGTATTTTAATTTCAATTGGATTTTCTACTGTATCTTATTTTGACACACACATACCATATAAATCTATATCCCTGAACAGAACAGAACAGAACCTCTTTGAACTGAATAAGTAAACCCAACAAGAACTAGAACAACAACAGCTACGATACCTATTTACTGCTATATTGTATGACGTAATGTGACCCACAACAACAACAAAAACGAACAACCGACATCAACAACTAAGTAATACCTACATACGATACACGTACTACAAAAAGCATAAGAAAACCCAACCAAAATCTAACTTCGAAACACTCGTCAACTATTGCCTATATACATACTACTAAATAACAAAGAGCGAAACTATACATTACTTATATATACACTTATATACAAACAACTACATACGCAATATTGTATGTCCTTTTTTTGTACAGAAAAACAAACGACAACAACATACGAGAACAACTAACCAGAACTAAGCCTGACAAACAAAAAACATAAATCGTGTATTCTTAACAAAACCTCTCTCAGATACTCAAAATCCTCATCATTTCTCTGTGTCTTTTCCTTGAAAATGATTTCCTTTTTTTTAACTTTTTAAAGTTACCTACAAAAGAGAATGAAACCCCCCAAAACTAAATGCAGAATTTCTTGGCACACCCTTTTCGACTCTCACGCTATAAAATAAATTAAGCCTCAGATCAAGTTCTAGTTAAGTTATAATAACAAGAACAAATGCAAGAACCGGAAGACAACCTTATATATTATATATATATGACATATATGCATAAATAATATTAGTAATTGCAAGTAATTTTAATTAGTCGCATAAGCCAAATGTTGGACGGGGAAGAAATTGCAGAAACTGAAACTAAAAATTAAAAACTAAAAGAAAAACTTAGGCAAGGAAAACACACACATTTGTTTTCACTCCGAAGGCAAACAAAAATTAGTTCAATTGAAAATAGACATGCTAAATCCGATGATATCTAGTGAAACAAATTTGTACATTTTAGGTATTTTATTTATGCTTAATTTGTAATTGTATTTTCTTTTACAAAAAAAATATTAATTCTTTTAATATTTTCCATAGAAGATGCCTTGGGGTTAGAGCGGGATGAGGGGATGAGCTTTGATGCTTTCGTCACAACAATTGTCTGACTATGCATAGAGTGCGTTTCGAAGAATAAAAAACTGATAGTATACAACAACAACAAAAAATAAATATATATATAGCGTATGAAAAATCTCAGTTATCCGACACTTGTTAAGGCATTAAAACACTACATATTTGTAGTTATGTCGAAGCTTCAACTCACCTAAAATTTCGAAACGCACTGTATGTCTGGTCAGAGAAAAGTAAAAAAACATTTCTCAACGAATCACACTCGGCAAGTCACACATTTTGTTGGATTTCCAATTATAGGATAAGTTTCAGACAGATGTTAATGGGGAATCCCCAGCCAGCCAGGCAGAGGGTTCTCTTCCACCCAAAAACAAAAACCCGGTTCCAACCTTACCTTTATGTTCCTCAAAGACCCAGACGAATAGTGTAAAAAATGAGAAAACAAAAAAACAGTAGGAAAACAAGAAAAATTGCCTTAGGGTTTCAGTAGAAGTATATATAAAGAAAAAGAATAATAAAAGTATTTAACTTTTATATATCATTTCCCTAATCGGCTGCGAGCAAAACGTGTGACTTTGCCTTAAAGGGGGAGGGAAGGGGGATAGATATGACATCAGCGAAATAATCTAGAAACCAGTTAAAACTACGGGTAACAAACAGTGAAAACATAAACAGCAAAAAAAACAACTGAAAGACAGTAAAAAGTATTCTATAATCCAAAACAAACACACACACACACACACGGGTAGATAGAAATAAATGGAATCTTTTTGGGGAAAACTAATAAAGGAAGTAAATCAATTAAGTGCCATTCTCAACGACTCAATAATGTCCTCAAATCATCCCAAAGAAAATTCCATTTACTTCTGACTGCTTCTTTGTGTAAAAATGTCTTCAACCGAAAAGCAGGACACCAAAAACTTTTTCAAGCTAATCGATGATATATCTATGATTTTTAGCAATTTATATATATAAATTATGGTATATACATATGTATGCATAGATAATGAGAATTACGGGAAACTAAAACTAAACTAAACCGAAGAAAACAAACCAATCACAAACAAGTCAACAGGGCACAGCGCTTCTTAACTATATTATTGATTTCGAAATGCCGAAGAACTTTTTCTAAAAACCGAAACCAAAAAAAAACATACAAACCAAGTGAAAATTGAAAAAACCAACGCTAATCTTAACTATAACTAACTTTTTAAACTAATATTGAAATTGAACCCAACAAAGTGTTCATTAAACTAAAAGAAACCAAACAAAAAAGATGGCATATACGAGTATATATGTATTATGTATGTACTTAAAGTTATACATTTCATAAAAACACAACAATTTTGTATGGCAATGGCAAAAGCAAAAATAAAACCCAAAAAAAAAAGCAGAAGATGGTGAAGAAAAAAAACCCAACAATTTAGTTAAGTAATTTATGATAATGTAAAGAGTTTATTGAATAAATTGAGAAATAAAACCCCGAAAGGGAAAAAAACCAAAAACTTTAAGGAAACTTTCATCAGATTTCTAACGAACTTTACGAATTTCCATGAAAGTAAGAAAAGAACAACTCCTGAGCTATCCACTCTACTGAAACTTCTCTACAGCATAAAAATAAACATGATACATTACTATATAATATATATATAGTACATATAAATACATATGTATATGTAATGGATGATAAGATTGCATAGGCATACACTTGTTTTTAGCACTAAATGAAAAAATTTTGCGTTACTTTTGTTTGACAAATACTAATTAATGAAATTAAATTAAAATACATACAAAAACATACTACTATATACATACATACTATATATACATACATTACATATATATATACATACATATATATATAAATACATAAATAGAGTTTTTTAGATTGAAAAGCGAATGAAAGAAATCCCGAATACTGAAACACGCAAAATCTCGTCTCATCTCATGGATGTGCTACACTAAATTAGTAACTAAAACTAAACTTAAAACTAAAACTAAACTATTGTTAAACCATAACACACACACATACACATTAAAACGCATACATTAACTAAATAATGAACAAAATGAAAGAAGAGTATAAGCTAAATCCAAGTTTGGAGAAGAGGAGCCGAGCCGCAGGCAGTTAGAACTCGAGAAGTACCCGAAAAAATGCAGATAGAAGAGAATGATGATGATGATGAGGCAGCAGAGTTATGGAATCCACACGATCGTTAGTGCAGTATAATAATTAACAACAAATTGTATTATATCTAAGCCCGAAACAAAAACAACAACAAAAACTTTAAAAACAAAAAGTTAAACATAAAAACAACCCGATCAACAAATGTTAATTACAACCAAGCGCTAAAAAAATAAATAGAAGGATTAAAACGAGATGGCGGCTATTTATTAAAGTGATTTATAGGGCAGAGTTGAAAATCGACTTTCAGCTAATATAGATTATAAATGAATAAATGAAAACCAAAAAAAAAAAACACAAAAATATTTTAAAAGCAAGCGCTTAAATTGTACATTTTTACAAGGCAACTGTACATTAAGCGCCCACGGCATTAAGGAAAAACCAAAAACAAAAACGAGTTGAAAAGCACATCAAACAAATAAAAAACAAAGATTTAAAAAATTAAAAAAAACCAAGAGAGCAACCCCAAGTGTGCGGCTGTAGGGAAGAGCCCTTAACCACACACATAGGACGTTGCCCTAGCCAGAACGGAAATGAGTTTATTAAATATATACATTTAAAAATTCATAAACAAAACCAAAAACAAAACAAAACAAAAAAACAAGAAAAACCAAAACCAAAATTCGTTGCATAATATTTAAAACGAAGGTAGTATTAAACTCGATTGCCTAATTCTAATATTAAAACAGAGAAAAAAAAGAAAACTATAAAAACATTAACATTAACAGTAATAATAATAATGAAAACAAGAACAACAACAAAAATGTTATTATACTTATTATACCGATTAAAATGAAAACAAAAAGCAGAAAACAACAAAAAAAATGAAACAAATTAAAATAAAAATTTTATTTAGATTAAATCATTGCTCAGGCTCATTGCATAGGTTCAAAGGTGGGATTCTTTAGGTATTTATGATGGCCACTGGTCCTAGCTCCGAGCGCAAAAATATTCTCTATTTACAGGGCATTTGGTTTATTGGAGAAGACAGCCAGACAGCCAAAGAGAGCTTGGAGACACGATACAAAATCGTGTACCATTGAAATTTATAGGCGTTAATATTGTATTTGGCCAGACATATTTCAGAAAATTTTTAAGGGTATAACTATACCGTCAGCTAATGAAGTCGATCTTACGTATCTTTATGTTGCGCTTTTCTTTCATTCGCTTACTTACGGGCTAACAGCAGCATCTAGCTGCACTCGCGTTCTTTTCCCTCTCTCAATTTATTGCCAACGTCTTAAGCTTCGCTTTGACCTTCGCCATTGGTCGTGAATTAGTATTCAACAGACATCGATTCGAGTCATCAACCCTAGTCTTCAACTGCCCTGAATCGATCTGACCCTTGAACGATTCGTCGCGGACTCAGACTTGAACATCTAAATAACCTCGGATATTTCTCTATCGCTTGTCGGCTCCTGTACTGCGCTTCATGCTATGTAACAAACTTAAACTAACTGGACTTAATATTTAAACATTCCGCAACAGAAAGCATACTATCTTAATAGACATCGTTGGTAGCAGATAGGTACAAGATAATGTGGTTTATGTTGCGCGAACTACGTGAAGCCATTTATCAGGTGAGCAAAAAAAATGTCAGGTTTAAACAAACACACACAAGATGTGAGCAAACTCTTAATTCTTACCACATCTGACAGACGGCTGAATGAATTGTTGCCAGGCCCCAAAGAATGCGCAGAGGCCCAGATTCAAGGTAAAATGTGGAGCCCATTGCGGATGCGATAAGGATAGCACATCATGTACAGTGTGTGCGTAGGGGCATGAGCCGCGATAGCCGGGTATCTGACGTCATAAATAAACGAAGCCTTATCAGTTGGTAATAATTTTTGCTTTATTTAAAAACGTCACTACAAAGTTTGCCTGGTTGCATCATGGTTAAATGGTTAATATTTGATTCAGATAACACGCACTGTACTGTCTGTACTTTAAAATGCGCCTACACAAATAGATCATAGTTGTGTGTGTGTATAATATTGTATGTATGTAGATTGCTATAGCTAAGGTATAGTTCTTTGTCTTTGCGTCTCGAAAAGGTACTAAAGGAATCTGCTGTTTATCTGCCCTTTGCCAAGCCGTGTTTATAGGGTTCTTTATCTTGGTTAATTGGTCCTCCGTCCCATCATCACCAAGTGGGAAGGAGGTTTTATATATATATGTAGTTCATAGCTCAACTACAAAATACTTTTACAAATACATATGTATATATATACATATATATGTATGTATACTCGAAAGATTTAAAGATAAAGGTAAATGTTTGTAAATATTGAACATAGATGGTTAGAAGACGTAGTACATCTATGCGAGGGGGGGAGGGTTAGGTTTAACATTTATAAATTATGCACAAAATAAATATATATATATTCAAACGCTTCGCACTTAAAAAACTAAAACAAAACATCGCAGAGTTGCTCCTAGGTTCCGGTTATCAATGTATCTCTATCTATCTATCTGTGCCTAGGCATACTTTCACTCTTGTCCATTCGATTGTATAGAATTGTCGTTAGTGGTGGCACCGAAAAGGCGCGGCGCCTGCAGTAGATCTGTGTACTGCAGCAGGGCCTCGCGCAGTGAGCGTGACACCTCCGGCGATGTTGTTGTGGTGCAGTCCACCAGATAGGGGTATAAGCCGATCAATTGATCCCAGGCAGGCTTGTTCACTGCGTTCGGGGGGATGAAAAATGGTTAAATAAAGGATCTGATTCTACAGCTTCGACTTTTGTCATACCCTTTGAGGCTGGGGCCTTCTTCATGGACACCACCAGCGTGGCAATGGCTTTGAGCACAAACGATATCTCCGACAGGCGGAATCTACAAGAAAAACAGTTGACATTTTACAATGAAATAAAAATTAAAGTCCGGAGGCTGGCCATCTCTCACCTGGGCAAAGGGCACTTGCCGCTTTGGCGCTCATCATCATTGAACCGTTTGAGCACTTCCTGGAAGCGATGCAGCAAGGCGGTGACCGCCAATCGTCCGGCAAAGTCCTTGCCACCGGCTCCAGCGGCGCCCGCTGGCAACAGATTGGCATTAATCCGATTGTTATTGGTGGCATGATGATCCTCCAACAGCGAGAACTGCAACAAGGTCTCAAAGCAGGTCTTGGCAAATATCTCGCGCAGCTTCCAGTCCGATTCGTAGCAAATATTCGTGTCCGAGGCCGAGTGTATGGAGCCCTTGTTGAGCAGCACCACAATCTGCATGATGAACTGATGCGGCATCTCGTGGGCATGCGGCAGGACCTCATCGCGCAGCAACTCAATCACATGACAATCGATGGTCTCGTCTAGGACAATCTCCTCCAGGCCGCGATCCTCAATGGTGCACACGCTGGCGGGGAACAGAAACTTGTCCAGCGTGTCGGCCAAATCGTCCCAAAGGCTGGCAAAATGCTGCGGCTTGGCCCGGGCCACCTTCAGGCCCGTGTGGAGGACACTGATCAGACTCGAGATGGCCAGCTTCCAAGTGCTGGAGGACAGGCACTTGTACTTCATGGCCAGCGGTGTGCGCACAGCCTTGACAATGTCGTGCAGGATCTGCTCCTGCACCACCGACTCCTCTGTGGCTGTCGTCTGGTACAACTTCACACAAATACTGATGGACTTCTCACCGAAAGGTATGTAGTTCATGCTGACCACCTCCACCGAGGCATTATTGGCATAGTGTCCCGACGTGGACTTGGCATACTTGTGCTCCACATTCTGTTGGAATGTGGGCGGGGCACAGGCAAACTTGCTGAAGATCAACAGCTGGCGAAAAATGGCGGGTATGAGCTGGCTGATATTGGATTCCGGCTTTGTGGCCTCCTACGAGACGAAGAGATTGGAGGTAGTAAAGATCTATCACAGTCGAAAGAAGTCTCACCTTTTGTATCAGCTCCATGCAATCGAGTATGCCATCATGCAGTGGCGTAAGCAACGTATCGGACACAGTGGACATGATGTAGGGCACAGCATCGGTCTGGACGGGAATGCACACCGCATTCGTCAGCACCGTGCAGAACTTGTCAAAGTCCGCGGAGCTGAATCTACATAAAGTTTCGAAATAAAAAAGAATTTCTACAGTGGAGAGGATAATGGGTTTTGCTCACTTGGCTTGAATGTGATGAAAGATGGCGGGAAAGATCTGTATGAGGGCCGTCAGAAAAGCCTGACTGGGAATGTAAAAGTCCTCCTGGCTATCCTGGCTGCCATTGCTACCCCCATTGCTGCTGGGCTGGGGCTGTGCTTTCGTTGTGGACATTTTGGTGCTCTCCATGCCAATGCTGAGCCAAATGTTCCAGGCAATCTGCTCAGATACAAAAACGAAGGCAGCAAAGAGATGCAGAGATAATTAGAACAAACCAAAGAAAGGTAAACTAAAATAGAAACTGAAAATCTTACAAAAAAGAGCTCCATGTGATTGACACGGAAATTGGAGAACTGCTTCTCGATACTTTTCAAATACTTAAGATAGGAACAAAAACAAAACATAAGAAACGAATACAAATTAGCCGCAGCATCCCTGCAATCTACTCACAGTCCAGATCTCTTCATCCTGCTCTAGCGCCGTTTGTGGATCCTTAAGGGATGATCCTCCTCCCCCTGCCACCGTTCGCTCAGTTGTGGTGTTGTGGTACATGATCTCCTGCAAAGATTTGAGTGCGGCCAGCGAGACCTCCCCATTCTTGCTCAACGCTGCATTCTGTATGAACTCCAGGATCAAAGACCAGGCACGCTCAAAGTCCCCTAGCATTTGGAGTAGCTCTCGTTTGGTGTTGAACACCCGACAGACGCCCGACAACGTCAGGACCTGCGTCTCGGCCCATTGCTTCTGAGCGGTGTTCCTCGAATGATGTATGAGAATATTGCCACTGGCATCCACCTTCTCATTGCTGGCCGAGCTGCTCAAGGCCCGGACGTTGTCGAGCAGGGGGAATAGAACTTGCCAGACCAGGGCCTGCCAGGTCGGGGGATTCAACAGGCTGCCGTGGGCCGAGATGGTGGAGAAGAGTGTCTGGCCGGCCGATTTACGGACAGCCGGACGCAGATCTACGCACAGCTCTCCCAGTTTGGCATACAGACACATCCAGAGCTTGTCGAATTGTGGCATCTTCACGGTGCCCGGAAACTCTGGCAATATAGCCACATCCTGCAGTTGTGTGGACATCAGTTTGTCCTGATTTTGATTAAAGAAATCCGAGATGTTCCACTGCAAAAAAGATACAAATTCCAATCAATTATAAAATCCATTTAAATATATTTAAGAGTTTCCAATCAGAGACCATCAGACCAATCGCTGTGAGTGAGATGTTTAGTTCCTGTGTTTGGGATCCAAATTTAGCCGCCGTGCTGATGCAGAGGGGCAGACAACGCCAGGGCATGACCGTGAGGAAGTCGGTGATGACCAGCTGTAGGCATTGGAAGGCGGTGCGTATTAAAGGCTCGCCATGATGTTCATTCACAGCCCCAATTATCTCAATGATGGCTGGCCAGCCAAAAGAGAGAATCTCCCCGGCTGTATTTAGAATCTGAAGAACACAATCCAACTGGCGTTGCCTCACATCCGCATGCAGGACGGTGGACAGCTCAGAGAGTGGACTCAGAAGCATCGTTTGCAGCTCCTATGAAAGATCGACATTAATTAATTAAATAATAATTTGTAGATTTAATTAATTTGTCCAAACCATGTTCTCCTTGAGCGGCGTTTTGTGCTTGAATTGTAGAGCAGACTTCACCAGATAGGTGATGGCCTCCACTCCCCACTCCCGCATGCGTATATGCCGATGCTGGCACACCTCCAGCAAATGATTGGTTAGCGGACGCCACAGCACATTGATTCGGGGCATATTCACGAGGCCCGTTTCCAGTAGCTTGGCCACCGCAAACAGCGATGGCTCTCGATTGGCATAGGCCAGCTCCATGGCCTCATGTGAGAGCTTGCACAAAGCATCGATCAGATGATGCAGTGCCACATCGTCCAGATACTGGCTGGACTCAAACAGTTGGCTCAGCATTTGTGACAGCACTGGTAGATCCGCCATCACGGCTGTTTGTATGCCAACATTCGCCTCAACTGCTGGCTTTGGCATCGCCTGGAGACTGCCGCCCGTTGAGGGTTTCAGGCCCAGTATCCACACTAGATGCTGCAGCGTTTGCAGCACCATATGCCACGATGTGCCCAGTATCCCGCCATTGTTGTGCGCCAGAAAGAGAATGGCACGCATACACTGCAGATTCTTGTTCGTCAACATTACGGGCGCCTGCATGACGCTGTGTGGCAGCGAGGCCGACGGCAGGGGCGTGCCCACAGCCACAATCTGGGGTCGAAAGTCATCGGGCGTACAGCTGTTGAGGAACTGGCTGCTCAGATCCTGGCTACCACTTCGAGTGTGACCTGCGGAAACAGAATAATGAATTAGCTTATGGTATGGACAAAGGGATTTGTCGCACTTACATCTCACATCGCCGTCTGCTTGCGTGGCATTGGCAAATATGGACATGGCATAGTGTGGGGGAAACGAGGCTCGACACATGGCCATAATGAAGGCATCGCGTGGCTGCAACTGCTCCAACATGCCGCACAAAGCCGCATAGTTCTGCATGGCCTTCAGTATGTTCTCGGTGGTGGCCTCGTCCATCGATGTCTCCACCAAAGGTATGAAGGCGCTGAGCAGCCCCGACCAGCTGGAATTTACCAACTGTAGGCACAGCGGCTGGTGCTCCTCCTCGGTAATGACCGCCGTGTTGTGGGTGGGGTGGAGCTCGGGTGTGCGCTGTATTACACCGCCAATCGAACGGGTCATGTCCAGAAGTATGGCATGTCCCACCGATATGCCATAGCTGTCGGGTATATTGGGGGCATCCAGTTTATCCAGCATTTCCAAGCTGCAAGAAGGAGGTTATCCATAAGAAAATAGAATCCACGACGGAAAGTTATCCACTTACTATACTGCCTTGGATACACCAGGGGCATAGGTGGCGACGAGCGGCAGATAGGCTCCCCGAAACGAGAATCCACATTGATTATTCCCAGACAGGGTGGACAGCGAGCTGGTGGGCTGCACTCCAAGCACTCCTCCATTTTGCTGGCCATTCAGCATAACGGAGGCATTTATCAAGGAATATCGCACAAAGCTGCCCATGGCCGCAATCATATCGTGGACAATGTTTGTGGCATGGTTCTTCAAGTCGTACGACTTGCAGAAGAAGGCAATCAGCGAGGAGCGTGTGACCAGCTTGTGTATGACCTCCACAGCCAGGGCCCGCTGCCAGGCTGGTTTGTCTGGATCCAGAAACTTGATTATCAGCGACAGGAAGATCTCGCATTCGGTCACCAATATGGTGTGGTATTTCTGTATCAGAATCGCCACCAGACGCAACAGTCGCATGCTGATGGGAAAATAGGGTTTCTCTGCGGGCACTGGTGCGGTTCCATTAGTGGGGGCCGGCAGCTGGCGATGTTTGACATTCGGGGAGAAGAGTTTTATCACCAAGGCACAGACGCGCTCCTTGAGCAGCAAACGGAAGTCGTTGCTCTGTGGGGAAAATGAGAATAAATTCCTTTACTTAAATAAATATTCTATTAGCACCCACCTCATGAAACACCGCACTAAAGTTTGTGAGGACTGCCTCCAGCAGTTCTAGGCCAAAGGTGCGCGTCATTTCTGTCATGCCGACCAGCCAATAGGGCTGCTCAGCATTCACCAGCTGCACTAGATCCTGGAATAGCAGAAATGCATCAGAGGCAAAGGTTTGCACATCTTGACCGGCTGCAGCGGCGCCGCCTTCCGCCTCCACAGGACTGTTGCTCGAGCTATTCGGCTGCTGCTGCTGCTGCTGTTGCAGACTAGGCACTGAATCCTTCTCCAAGTAGACACGCTCAAACACAAGCGACACCAGCTGACGTATGGTGGCTCCAGCCGTGTTGACAATTGTGGGATTCTTTGTGTAGTGCAGGCGAAAGCACAGCACCAAGGCCTTGGCCAGCGTATCACCATGGACAACAGTGTTGGTCGTCAGCAGGAGGGTCACTGTCTGCAGCACCTTCACCTCCTCAATGTTGTTCTCCATGAGGGTCCACAAAGCGTTGGTTATGTATAGGGCGCCCTTTTGATCGACCACCTGCTGGGTAATCAGACGTTGCATCATGCCCAAGCAGAACTGCAGCAAAAAGAACGATAAGATATGAGTTGAGTTGACATGGCATGAAAGTGTCTGGTTTGTGTGGCTCTTACCTTGATGATTTTTAAATCCTTGGTCTCGCAGCCCTGCACCAGGGGATAGAGTATCTGGTTGACGGTGTAGTAGACAGAGTTTTGCTGGCTGCTGCCAGCAGTGCAGAGCTTCGAAATAGCCTCCTCGCATGCCTGGGGTTGGGATATTTAATGGCCATGTTAAATTGTCACAAAATCAATTTTATTTGTTTTTGCTATCAATTTCATAATTGCGTAGCCCACAGAGGCAGGTGCACTGGAGGGGTGGTCCGTGTGGTCTCAGGTGTGGGGTGACACACTCACTCAAAACACACACCCACACACACACACAGTTACACAGTTATGTGGCAAGTTGCCGCAATTAGAAATGCGACCATGAAATGCGACACACGTCAGCAGAGCAGCAGGACAGGACTTACCTCTTTTATTTGAGGATACTTCTTCTTGGTTTCAAGTGAGAGCGTCTTGAAATCGGCCTGCAGCGCCTCCACAAACTTGTGCACATCTTGGCCCCCACCCCCGCCCACAAACGACATTGTTATTTGTTAGTATTCAGATTCAGCTCTTGCACAAACGACACTCAATGCACTGCATGCATGCCGCATTTATGTACATTAATTGAAATAAACATCGACTATTGAACAAACTTTATTCTTAGAAAACTACAAAAAGAAAGGTAACAAACACAATAAGCCGTGAAAATTCGTTTTGACAGCTGACGTACACAGTGAACAGTGTTAGTAAATGAGGTCAGATGAGCCTGCACTCCACTGTTGCCAAATCAGCTATTTATAGCTATTTTTTATGTTTGATAGACGGAAAGCTGTGTTTTGCCATTTATTTAGCAACCATGATGTGGGAAAAAGGGAAAAAACCTGCAAAAGTACCTGCATTAACGTGGTACTATGGATCCTACGATGAGAATTTATACAAAACATGGGAAATTTCATGAATAAAACTTGCTAAAAATTTTTGTTCTTAAGCTATTTGGGCAGCACCGATGAGCAACTAAAGTGTTGGTAAGCGATTAATTCCACGACAGAGAAGAACTTGTTTGTTGCATTGAACGAACTACTGGTTCATTTCCATCTTCAGTGCATGTAGAATTTCTGTACAATTAACGCTCTCCGATCTGAATAATAAAATTATAAAAACATATATTTGAGAAAATCATGTCCGGAAATACGCAAAAAAGCCGTTCCGCAAAGAAGGGACACTCGCCTGCTAAGCGTGATTCTCCAGCAATACCAACAGCGACCACCCGGCAAACCTCATCGGCATCCGCATCGGCATCCGCATCGCATCATAAAAAGCTTTTTGTTTCATTCAAAACGGAGAAATCGACTCCGTTGATAAAGGAAACGGGATCATCGGCATCCGCCCAGCAGGTGGGAATTGATAGCCAGACGATGGATACTCTTAAATCTGAGGAAGCTGAGAATACCACCGGTGAGTGGGATAATATAATCAAAATCCCCTTGCAACTTGCTTATGAATATTCATTTGAATTGGCGGCAATCAGGTCCTTGGCTGTGTCTGAAATGCAGTGTGTGCCTTCCATCGTATAAGGACTTCAGACTCCACCTCATCGACATGCACAAGGAGACCATTGACCCGGCGCTCTGCGAGCATTGTGGCTGGAAATTAAACAACAATCGCGAGTTGCATTTCCACATGTATACGGATCACCAGATCAAGTCGCTGCTTTACACTTTCGCTGAGTGCGACCTCTGCGATCGAAAATATTCGAGCAAAGACGAGCTGGAGGCTCACATGACTGAGTGCCTCAAAGCCCCCTTTAATGCCATTGAGGAGAGTGACCAGGATCCGGAGGATGATGGAAGCATTATATACGACATCATTTTGGAGACGATGACGATGACGACGACGATGTGCCACTGCAGCAGCGATCCACGTCAAGAAAAAACCAGCCGGTGACTCCAAAGCTGGCTACGCAGACCCAGCTGGAGCATAGCACGACCAACGATAGTGCTGATGAGGCATCTCAAGCAGAAGATGCACACCGCAACGAAAACCACCCAAAACAAGCCGATGAGCGATGCGGATCAATAACGCATCCTAGCCACCGGCAAGAAGTTACCCACACCCGAGGATCTAATTCCCCCACATCTCTCGACTACAATGAGACGATGGTGTGGAAAGTAATTAATGTTATTGGCATTCTAAAACAAAGCGGTGACGATGGCAAGTTTCTGCTCTCTCGAGTTAATAAAAACAAACTCACGCGGCCACAGAAAAAAATATTGTCCAAGATGATAGTCGATTACTTTCTATCAAGGAAAATCAATATGACGCTTCAGCAGAGCTACGCCTTGGAGAGAGATGTGCTGCGGCTCTTTCCCGGAGAGAAATTGGAAGACTGGCGGAGCAACGGAAAAACTCCTGGAATATTATATAATAGTTTTCGATACCGACGACGCGCTAGACATGCGGCAGAGCGTCAAGAAATGCAGAAGCAGGCGCTGCGAGCAGAATGCGAAAAACCTTTTTGAAGAATATCGCCTTATTTGACAAGTAAGAGTCGGAGAAAGAACTACAGAGTACGATTTTAGCGATCTGTTCCCTCTTTAGGAAGCTAATCATGTATCTTTTTTTTAAGAGTCGTGCCAAACGGACGAGCCCCCAAACTTAATGGAGAGACCGTCCGTGACTACGCACAGAAGAATCAACAGACAACGTGCGAAGCCATAAACTGTCAGTTTATCGAAACAGTTGACAGTTGAAGCTAACAAAAATTTGAATAAACTCAAACATTTATTGCGAAAGGAAAGGCTTGCATCGTTTCTAAAAGTTTCTGATACCCAGCAAAGCCTTTGTATGTTACAAAAGTAAATGCAAACTGAGTAGCATCGCACCACCCGCACCATGGGTAATCTAAACAGCAAAAGGATGAGGTTCTTTCTGGCCTTAAATGCCGTCATTATCATTAGCTTCATATACGCTTCTTTCTCGACGAAAGAGATCCTGCCCCGGAAACATGTGCATTCCGTTGGATACCCTCCGATGCGCCGTAGAATCGAGCATAGAAGCACCAGCAAAAGCTATAACAGCACCATCGGAAATTATAAACGCACTGGTAAGCCTTCATTACAGCCATTTCATAGCACTGTTTATTCGTAAAAATTCACCTAACTTGAACTCCACTCATCTGTATAATATCCTTCCTCAGAAAGAAGCAACAAACCGGAGGAGAACGAAGCTAGTTTACTGTATAGCAATATTGAAGCCTCTCGATCCATGTCGACTTATTCCAACCAACCGCAAAAGCTAAAATTGCAGAAACAACTTTCTAAATACCCTAGACATGGGTTTGCTTTCGCACACCAGAAATCCACCAGACCCGTGACCATTGTAAGCTCCATTAATGGCAGTAGCAGCATACAAACATCAAGTGCTGCCCCCGCATTACCTTTACCTACTACAGTACTTACAATGGAAGTTTATGAGCCCGGCCACCTGAACGAAGACATTGATATGCAGAGGATATGTATGCACAAAGGGGTATTTCTGAGGTTGCTCATTCTGATCACCTCCGCACAATCCCACTTTATGGCGAGAATGTCGATCAGACAGACCTGGATGCACTATGCTAGTAGGCGGGATGTTGGGATGGCCTTTGTCCTTGGAAGCACAGCGAATGTGACCCTGAACGAGTCAATCAACCAGGAGAACAATATTTATCGCGATATGATACGTGGACACTTCATAGACTCGTACTTCAATCTCACTTTGAAGACGATCTCGATGCTGGAATGGACAGATACGCAATGTCCCAGTGTGAAATTCATCCTAAAGACAGATGACGATATGTTCATAAATGTTCCTAAGCTTCTCGACTTCGTAGACGCCCGACACGAAGACATGCGATCTATCTACGGCCGACTGGCCAAATATTGGAGACCCGTCCGAAATAGAAAGTCAAAGTATTTTGTTTCACACAAATCATATAGCGGCATGCAATATCCCCCGTTTACCACCGGACCTGCCTACCTTCTCACTGGAGACATAGTACATGAGCTATATATGCAATCGCTCCACACGTATTATATGCAACTGGAGGATGTCTTCATCACTGGCATTGTGGCCAAGAGCTTGAAAATTAAGAGAGTACAGGCCAAAGATTTTCGCAACAGCCGCATCTCTTTAGTTCCGTGCACCATACGCAACGCGATCAGCGTGCACATGATCAAGCCAAGCGAGCAGTACAATCTTTGGAGGAGCCTATTGGACACGACCATCAAGTGTAAATAATTTTTTGTCGTATAAGGAATCAATCTATGTAAGAGATAAGGATTTAGCTAATTATTATAGAATAAAAACTGCATTGTACTATGTCTGATGTGCATCTTAGGTGCTAAGAATATTTATGTAAAATTAACGAAATGTATTTTGTTATGTACAAAAATGAAACATATTTATTTTATAAGTGGTTCCTTATGATCGACTAAACTCGAAAGTAAAGCTGAGGTACGAGTACAACCAATTTAAAACATGTTGAAAAAACTGAAACAAAAAAATTGATTGGCTATTCAACATTTGAAAATTGATATACCCGTACTCCAGGGTAAAGGAGTATATTGGATTTGTGGTCAAAGTGGATGCGTTTCCGACCCATCAAGTATATTTATTCTTGATCAGCATCAAATCCGAGTCTCTGTCTGTCTGTCCGTCCCGATGAGCACCTAGTTCTCAGAGGTATAAAAGTAGAGTCGCGGCCACAGCAGCGACTCACAACGTTCCTTCTCATTTAATGCTGTAATTAACTAGTCGCTTAAAGTGCACCGAATTTTCTCTACTGACTTCTCTGATATTACAATGCAACAAGTGTATTTAAAATTTACTTTATAATTACTCGATTGGACCATGCCACCTGAGAGGCACGTATGCCTTGACTAAAACGTTCGGACTGGTTAATACCTGTATATTGAAAATTCGAATCTTTTTGGTGCAATACAAAATCGTAGGTATCTTCGGGGTGCTTATCTAAATTTCTGTTGAACTAAATTTTATCTTTCATTGCCGGAACACTCTGAGAACGCCAAAACACAAAATAAAGTTTTTATGTTCAGTACGTTTATGTCTGAGCCCGCACTCAAAGGATGCGGTTCTTTATGTTTTTAGGTTCTGTCATTATAATTACCTACATCTACGCCTCTCTCTCGGCGAAGGAAAGGAAACCCCTCCATTCCGTTGGAGGGTTTACGATGCGCCATGATATCGAGGAAAATGTTACAAGTGAGTCTTCTCAGGAGACTTCTTATTGTGATTTAATCTTTTATTTTCAGGGCAAGTCAACGGCAGCAACAATCATGGGAAAACCATTGAAAATTATCAGCACACCGGTAAGTGTGTAATTATATCTTATTATTGCTCCACCTGAACTCCACTCATCTGTTGAATTTCCTTCTACAGAAAGAGGCATCATGCCGGAGAAGAAAAATCTCGTTTTAGTGCATAGCACTAAAACCTTTTCGGCTGATTTAAATCCACTGCCAAAGTCGGCGGAGAGCGAGGATATCAAGAACATTATACGGAACAGACTTTTGAAATACCCAAGGAAACCCAAAAAGATGCTACGCAATCGGAATCAGTCCCTGAAACCCCTAACCACTGTAAGCAGTGTAAAAACATCAAGTGCTGCACCCGTATTACCTGTACTTACTCCAGTACTTACAATGAAGCTCTATGAAACCGGCCACCTGAACGAAGAGATTGATATACAGAGAATATGCACACACGGGGGATCAAGTTTAAAGCTGCTCATTCTGATCACCTCAGCACAGTCCCACTCTATGGAGAGAATGTCGATCAGACAGACCTGGATGCACTATGCAAGTTGGCGAGATGTGGGCATGGCCTTTGTCCTCGGCCGCACTACGAATGCGACCCTTAAGGAGTCTCTCAACCAGGAGAACTATATTTATGGCGATATGATACGTGGAAACTTCATAGACTCGTACTTAAATCTCACTCTAAAGACGATCTCGATGCTTGAATGGGTAGATACGCACTGTCCCCGTGTGAAGTACATCCTTAAGACCGATGACGATATGTTCATCAATGTTCCTAAGCTGCTGGACTTCATAGACGAGCACAAGGATAAGCGAACCATTTATGGTCGCCTGGCCGAGGAGCAGGAGCCTGAACGCAATAGGGGATCCAAGTATTTTGTACCATATCATCAATTTAGGGGCGCCGAGTTCCCAAAGTATACCACCGGAGGAGCCTACCTCCTCACTGGAGACATTGTACATGAGCTTTACATGGAATCGCTCAATATGTATTATGTGCAACTGGAGGATGTCTTCACAACGGGCATTGTGGCCCAAAGCTTGAAGATTAGGAGGGTGCAGGCTGATGAATTTCGCAACGTTCGTACCACATTCAACGCTTGCTACATTCGCAGCGTGATCAGTGTGAATAAACTCGAGGTACACGAACAATACTATCTTTGGAGGAAGATGCTGGACCCTTCTATTAAGTGTAAAGGGATTTGGAGAATGAGCTGCGGCGCTGTAGAACAGCCAAAGTGAACTCCTTTAAGTTTTGAGAATGATTGATCCAAAAATTGGTTGAACAAAGATGTAGACATATGTAAAAAATAAATCTATGTAAGAGATAAGGATGTTTCTGATTTTTCTATACTGTACACTTACAGATAACGAGAATTTGTATCGCGATCGAGATATACATATATGTACATCGAGATATGTACATACACTTATGGACAAAATAATAGGTGTGCTTTTTTTCTTTTTCTTTTAATTTCTAGTTCATATCTTCTCTAATCTCAACAAATCAAAGTTTTTTCAAATCTTATATTAATTGTCTTTAAAGAAAAAGTAAAAACTGTTTCACAAACCCTTTAATTTACAAGAAATTTAAATATTTCTCTAAGTCGGTCAATTTTGGCTGGACACAATAATAGTATACGAAGATAAAAGTTTAAATTAAATCGATATAATTCTTTTTTTATTCTCTTTTGGCGGCGGGGGCGGCGCCGGTCCTTCCGTTTTATATTAAATTGAGTGTCTGGCAGCTAATACCCGGTATATCCGCCATTATTTTGCAGGGATTTTTCCATTCGTCTTGGCATGGAGGATATTAACTTGCGACAAGTTCCAATTGGAATGTTGTACCTCCTCTTTGGACAATATCCCAAAGTTGATGTTTATTTTGTCAAAAAGTCTTTCCGACCTCCCTTTTGAGTTCACCCCAGAGATTATCGATTGGATTTAGGTCCGGGGTTTGACTTGGCCACCCAAGAACATCCACACTTTGTTCTCGGAACCAATCCTTTACTACTCGAGAGGCGTGCTTCGGGTCATTATCCTGCTGGAACTTCCATAAAAGTGGCATATTATCCTCGGCATATGGAAGCATCACCGTATCCAATAGATCTTTGTATACGAATCTGTCCCATATTCCGTCAATACGATGAATCGGACCAACACCATACCATGAAAAGCAGCCCCATACCATTAGGCTACCACCTCCATGTTTCACAGTTTTACATGTGTACCTGGGATCAAATTCTTTGCCTTTCGGACGACGAACATTCCTTTTGGCATCATTTCCAAATAAATTAATCTTGGTTTCGTCACTCCAGAGGATATTAAGCTATTTTTTCTCACCCTCCGGTCCGCACCGGAATATATACTAGAATATAGTTAAATGCGTGAATAGCTAAAAAAAATGTATAAAATAAAATTGAATATTACTTAGGTTAAAAATTAGAGGAAATAGGGTATAAAAATGTCTATACTCCATAACTGTGTTGCTGTAGCTAATGTGTAGTCACCATGCACAAAATTTACATTTTTTTTCGACCCGTTAATCCTTATTTTATAAGCAATTCCATAAAAATGAGTCTTTAAAATTAGCAAAGTTGCAGAAAATAAATTCATCAATCAAATAAAAATATGTGTTGAGTTCTGAGAGTGCTAACTAAATAGTAATATTAAACCGAATATCAAAATCGAGAAATGGACATAGAAAGATTAACGCATTGTCGACCCACAAAATACCCACTGTATTTTAATGATCCTCAAATTGAGGTGAAATTTATAACGGTCATTTTTTATTGTAAGTAAAGAAAAAGGATGGATCTACAAGAAGAATAAACCAACAGTATTATTTTCCGCGGCTTAATTGAAGGGTTTTCACTGTTCACTGTTCAAAACATGATTTTATCCTAGATTGACATGTTTTTTTACCTATTAAGGCACATGTTTGTGTTTTATATATACATTTATCCCGGTTCTGATACCTATTATTGTAACCCGTGAGCTGCAAAATTTCGTTAATATCTCTAAAACAGAGACTGAGTAGTTTCTGCATTAATTGGAGCCTGAAATTACAAACAATATCTCAAGTCCATAATATCCATTTTCCCAAGGTATTCAGACTTGTTGCACATTTCGGGCCAAAGTTGCACAACAGTCCTGCCTCTTCATTTCCCCATGTTGCTGAAATTTTTGACCCAGACAATCCAAATGCATCTCCCGGGAAAGATGGATTTGACTTGTATGCGAAGAATTTTGCACATGCTGCCACACCCGGGGGTCCCCACAAAAACACTCTATTCTCACACCAAGAGAGCACATTGAAAACCTCTCCACCCGAAAAGAGAGCGAATTTTGAAACGCTCACCGGACTCATTTCCGCCGCAAGGATAAGGAGGTATGAGGTGTGACGTATGACGTCACAAAATTCAGAGCTTTCAAGAAAAAAACCCACCTCACCACATAACTCACCGTGCGGGATTTTATGCTTTCGCGCAACCATGGTATGTTTAGTCCGTCGGGGCTAGGGTAAGGTCCTTACGAGGCCCTTAAATCGTGTTTTGTTCAACAAAATAATGTTTCAATGGAGCTTGGAACAAAACATTTAACATCAATTAAAAGAAATAAGGTATACAAAAGTACATACGCATAGAAGAAACTTGGTTGACCAGCAACACTGACGTCACATTTAGTCAACATTTATGTTTTATGCTTTGGCCGTTTTTGTTTGAACCTTTTTATGTAAACAATCCAATAAAAAAGAGTTCTGAAAACTAGCCAATCTTGTAAAAAATTGATGTATCTATCGGATAAAACTATTTTTTTTAGGGCTGAGAGGGCCAACTATCTAGTAATATTAAACTGAATATCAAAATTGACGAATTTCATATCACAAAATATCATGGTATGGCACCCCGCACCAACTACGAATTGCACGAGTCTGGCGCCAAAAAAAACGACGTCTCATTCGTTTTATGTTGTTTTTGTTTGAACTTTTTTATGTAAACAATGCAATAAAAAGGACTTCTGAAAACTTGCCAATCTTGTAGAAAAGGTATGCATCTATCGGATAAAATTATTTGTTTAGGGCTGAGAGGGCCAACTAGCTAGTAATATTAAACGGAATATCAAAATCGAGGCATATCAACATTGAATGTTTTGAAAAAAAACAATCGATACTATCGTAATAGTATCGGGCTCAAATAATTATTAAAAAACTATTGAAACCTTTTAGGAACTTGTCCATTGTAAAAATTAGATGCCACCTGTCGATTTGTTCACAAATTTGTCTTCGTATTTTATAGCAGCCAATCCAAACATATCAAAAGCGCAGCGACTGTAGCACGATACTATCATGATAGTAAAATATCGATACTATCGATGGTGAGTGCTCTCTTTCGACTGGGACATGGCAAGGTATGGCCCCAGTATTAAGACGGCCAAACTTTTTTTAAGGGCCTCGTAAGGACCTCACCCTAGCCCCGACGGACTAAATATACCATGGTTGCGCGAAAGCACAAAATCCCGCACGGTGAGTTATGTGGTGAGGTGGGTTTTTTCCTTGAAAGCTCTGGATTTTGTGACGTCATACGGTCACACCTCATACCCTTATCCTTGCGGCGCAAACAAAAGTTCCACTTCAAGAAACGATAACGATAAATGATACAGTTTTATCAGAGGTGGTGTGGAGCTCTGTTTTTCCGATTGTCTTGGAAAATATCTTTTTGTTTCTCCCCCCTCCTCCCCCTCAAAAAAAGCGGAAAAAAATTGGTTCACCGTTGGTCATGTAGAATGAATATGTGCTAAGCCTCAAAAGTGTCATAAAAACTGCAGCGTAAAAGTTCGAAACGTGAATAACAATAAATCAATGCCTGTGGCCAGTCAAAATCATAAAAAAACACAGATTGGGGTTTATCCAATAGTCTGGGTGTAACGTTAATGGTTATATTTTATTTTTAAAACATGCTTGGCATGACTAATGAAACGCGTTGATGCTATAATAAATGTTAAAGCCTCGAGAAACTACTCAGAAAAAGAAGAAAACTCAGAAAACGCCTCAAGGCTCGGAGACCTGGGCAGCAATGGACAAGCGCACGCACACACAAAAGGCTTTAGTGGTGGAACCTACAAAAACAACAAAACAGAAGGAGTAGCAGCAGCATCAGCGGCCTTAACTACAATTCATCATCGCTAATTGTCAACAAAAGCTAAATTTATTAACGTTAAATAAACACTAAAAATAAACACCCAAACGCCAGGCAAGCAAGCAAGTAATTATGCTTGACCCTGGTCCAACAATAGACGCAACAGCAACATCAACAACTACAGCCGCAGTTCCATCTTCGTCTTTGATTCCAATTCCAGCGCCACACTTGCTGGCGGGAGCGTAAGCTTAAGCCTAAGCACCCCCCCAGTCAGAGCCGCGTCAGAAGCTGAATAACCCAACATCTGGGAGGTAAGTCATAAGCCAGACGACGCAATGTGCGGTGACGGTGCGTTGCTTGGTTTGTTTCATTCATTGTTGTTTTATTAACATAACACATTTGTTTGGTTGGGCAACAGAGCGGGCTCCGCTACCGATTGAAACGGAGAAGAGAGAGAGATTTCCACATTGGATTGTCCCACACACACACACACACATTACACCACGAGGCCCAGGCAGCAATGTTTCATTAACACATTAGCTTTTGCCTGGACTGGATTGGCATATGTATGTTCCTGGTACCAGACCGCTTTGATGCCACCTTGATTGATAGCCCAGGCGGCAGGCATCTCTGAAGATAGTTTTGAGGCCGCCCCGAAAAACCCGTTTTTCAGCTGAACCTGCGATTATCTGCGGTTCATTGTACTTATTAGCAGTCGTCGAAGACACGGGACGGGGCCACGAAAAGCCCAGATGGAGAGACTGACTGGTGACTAGTGACTGGGAACGGTTTATACGAATATGTCGGAGCAGCACTTCCGTTCTCCCGCCCGAGTTCCACCGTCACCGGGTTGGCTGCTGCTGGCCGCTTCATTCAAATTACAAACGTACCGTGTGTTCTCGTACCCGCCATATTTCACGGTACTTTCGGTAATTTCGCACACAATTACAAATTGCTTGAAATGCTTAAACGCTGCGGAAACATGTGTGAAGAAATTCTGTTGGGGTCTATAGACGGCATTGCGTCCGTTCCAGCGCCAAAAAAAAGGGGGAAGTGGATGTCTGATAAGAGACAAGAAAAGTGGCTGGGGAGATAAGTCTTTAAATAATTTTTGTGCTCAAAGTACTCGTACTTGTAAGCATGGACTAAATGCAAGGCACTTGATGAATCATCCATACCATCTCAGATAAGGCTATGGCACTTTCACTCTCGCTCGCTGATGCTGACATGCTAATCACAGAGAACGCCAGCGCCTGGAAAAACAATAGAATAATCTCTTACGTCACGTCACGCTGCGGTTTCCAATATACTAAATCTGTTTATTAGCTTTAACATTGTGTGTGGTGTGTGCGTCTTTCAATGCGTCTCACTGGTCTGTGATAAGCATGGGACTTGAAACGATATGAAGGCTGTAGAGTTGGACCCAAAAAATTCCATGCGGTTCTATCCGCTTCATAAAGGGAGAGAGAAAGAGAGAGGGAGCGAGACTTTCTTTTTACGAACAGAGCCAAAAGCTAATCAATGAGTGAAGCGTATCTCACTCCTCGACTCTCTGTTAATTAAATTGCTAAATATTTGCTAAAACTTTTGCAATTAAAACGTTCCATATACGATATCGTCAAATGTCAGCTTTATCTATCAGTCATTTTAGCAATTGAAATATAAAAATTGTTCGTGGTTTTTGTTCTTCACATGTACCTACAGCTATTTATAATTGATTTGTTATCGTTCATGGGAGTTTCCGAATCAACACAAGAACCTTGCGCCATAAGGCTCCAAAACTTCTAGAGTAAAAGATTACCCTATCTTAATTCGTTCTGTGGAGGGTTTAAAAAGTTATTTATGTCTGATTTCCGATTTCATTTGAACCATTTATAATAGTATTCCGATACAGTGCAGACATATACATATAACTTACCTTTCCCCCCTTTTCAAGATTAGATAAAGCAAGAAAATCTCTTATAATTGCTACCGTATCTACATAAACGTATTATGAACAAAAACAAAAACTTAAGATAGTAAACGGTCCTCAACTAAATGACGCATTGGGATTTTCATTCTGCCTCTGCTACTCGAGAATAGTCAGTGGGCAAATCGAAAGTTCCTTAGAAAAAGTTTTGAGTAGGTACTTTAGACGGTTTTATTGATTTCCATAACGGGGATAACGTTACCGTTCCCGTTCCCGTCTCCACTGGTTGTAGTATTTTTATGGGACCCCGTAAAGTGTCTGTCTATAATTAGTTGCGAGTCCGTCCGCATGCGGCTTGACTACTTATTAATATTACAGAAATGTACACGAGTATAAATATGGAAAGAATACAATTATAATACATGGGAAAAGGTCTAGGCGGAGGCAATCTTATCATCCTACGAGTATCCCATCAGTTTTCATGCCAAGGCAAAGAAAATTCAAGTGGTAGGCCAACTCTCTGGCTGCTGGTCAAGAGTACAGACTCGTGTGTCCTTTCTTTTGTGCCTCTCCAATCTTCGGCTCGCCCACGGCAAATCGGGTCAAGAATGCTGTTGACTTGTGTGGCTGTGTGAGCCGCATGCTAAGTGGGAGCCCAGAACCCAAAAACAGACAGAGCCCAAGGCGATGTCGTGACAATTCTGGATGCTGCGTGTTCGAAGCACTTGCGGTATTCATTAGCTACCAAATGTTCGTCATGGAAATCTGGGAGCAAACTGTCGTGTGCTTAGCATAATAAGATCGTTTAGCTGCACTTTAATTGAAGTTCCTGAGGGATATACAAAACTACTCATAACTGAAAAAATACTCCCAACTTGTAGAGAAATTGCCAAGCAAAGAAGTTGTAAGAATGTTTCTCATCAACCTGCCTACTACCTCTCTCTCTCTCTCTCTCTCTCTCTCTTATTCCATATATGTACAAATATTTGCATTATTTCAACAATAATGGAAGATATCAGATGGCCAAACTCGACTTTAAGATACCCGATACTGCAAAGAGAATATGTACCCTAAAGAAAGGGAACGAAAAAGGCGTACTATGTGCCGATTCCCAAATAGAACGAATCGTAAGATAGAGCTGAAGTAGCTCCTATTGTACACATAAGTCTAGTCTCATTCCTAATAATCTAATAAAGAAATGGTGTGTGGTAACACTTCCTTCCTAGAAGCACTCGAGAACAAATATACCTTTCGAGCCCAAGACGAGTGGCCGGGTATCCGGCGGTATAGGAACACTTAACGAATCAGCGGAATCAGTTGTTTACTTAAGTTTTTTTTTTTTTTTCTCATTCTCATTGCAGTCGCACCACATACGTCGCGACGCTTGGACCCGCCCAAGCGCCAAGCGGATCGTTTTCGTAACCGAAATACACACAGAAATTTTAACGAAACATAGGAGGAGGAGAAAATCCAGTACGCACCATGGTGGCCGTGGGCAATCTACACAATACGCGCATGCTGCGCTTCCTCTTAGTCCTAGTGGTTGTCATCCTCACCATCTTCATCTATGCCTCGTATTCGACGACGGCGACGTTGACACCGACTCGTGTGAGACCAGCAGCGTCACCGCCACAGCAACTGGTGGGCGGCAATCCGATGCAAATTTTAACCGTGAACAATACGGGAGAGTTCGGTCTGGCCACTGGCGAGGCTGTGCCCAAGGCCCAAAGCAGGCAGCAGCAGCAGCAGCAGCAGGCAGACATTCACAGACGGCACCCGCCACAGCATCGGCTGCCCACAATCGATGAGGATGCCCTGCTGGATGGCGGCTCTGCTGGGGCCAGTCCTAGCCAGGTTGGCGGTGGCGGTGGCGGTCCTGACCAGACGCCCAATGCCATTGTCGATGAGATGCTCGAGGAGCAGCAGTATGGCCAAAGTGTTGATGGTACTACTGGTGAGTCTGGTCGGACTGTTCCACTGCTAATTATGCTAATGATCTAATCTTTCAATTCATCAGGCAACATCAGCAGCAACAACAACAACAACATTAGCAATAGCAACGGCACCAGCGAGGCGTTGGTTGTCAAACAAACAGCCACTGGCCCTGGCTCCCCCGCCCTGTCGGAACAGTCGCCCAGTCAGCAGCAACAGCAGCAGCAGCAGCAAGCACAATCCGACGCAGAAGTTCTCATACCCACTTCTAATTTGCAAAAGTTCATTGAGAATGCCGATAAGATATTGAAGAACATTACATCTAACAGCAGCAGCAGCGGCGGCACCGGCACCGGCAGTGGAGTTGCCGCAGCAGCAAACGGAAATGACCAGCACATAGGTAGGTCTCAATGACAGACACTCTTGTAGGGTTCTCTGAGAGACATCTATTAGGTTAAAGTAGGACTCCAGGATAGACATTCCCTTGGCATAAAGTGGGGCAGACAGAGATTCCTTTGAGATAAAGAAGAAAGAAAGAGAGCAAATAAGCCATGTATGGTGATAGTGCAATGCGACCTTTTAATAATAATCTCTAGCTAAATTAGATGAAAAAATTAGTAGTTGTAGTTTTAAACCATATTCCCACACTATTTACGGAATCGATTGCGTTGAGGCTTCATATTTAAACACCAAATGTTTACACAGAGGCATTAATTCTGTCGTCGAAACGACTAGGCTATGGCGGAACGTCTGTCGCTTAGTCATCCAAATGTGTGTTTAGTCGCACGCTTATGAACACGTATCGTGTTTCCCCCTGACAATCCCTGACCAAAGACAATAGCAATGTAAACAAACAATGCAAATGTCTGTTGTTTGTTACCTGATACGTCAGTTGTCGTATGGGGGTGGGGGAACTAATTAGAATAGCACTCCCTCCCCCTTCTTATTTTAATGACAATGCATCCACCTGTGTCAACTGCTCATCTTTCCATCTTTCCACAGATAAGGCCAACCAACCACCGGAGGAGATACAAATCAGTTTGTTAGATGGAAAGAATGACGGCTTTGAGGGATACTCGGCTAATTCGGACAAACAGAAGCTAGTGCCCCCTTCTAATCCGATGAAAGATGCCAAGAAACCCAAAATGGAATCACCTGTTCTGTCTGCAAGACCACCTGTACCAATTATACGCACCACCAAGGGTAGGAGCAGCGTAAAGGAGCCACCTTCCCCGGTGGATCCCTCCAAAGGGGTGGCTACAGAGAAGCTCTACGAGTCCGGCCACATCGACGAAGAGATCGATGCAGATCGCATTTGTCCACACGCGGGAGAAACCATAAAGCTGTTTGTGCTCATCAGTTCAGCACAGTCGCACGAGGCGGCGAGAATGTCCATCAGACAGACCTGGATGCACTATGGAAGCAGGCGGGATGTCAGCATGGCCTTTGTCCTGGGCCGCGGCACCAACGAAACGATTAACAAGGCGCTCACCAAGGAGAACTACATTTATGGGGATCTGATACGCGGAAACTTTATAGACTCGTACAATAATCTAACACTGAAGACGATCTCCTCGTTGGAATGGGCGGACCAGCACTGCCCCCGTGCCAAATACATTCTCAAGACAGATGACGATATGTTCATCAATGTGCCCAAGCTGCTGGCCTTCCTGGACAAACACCAGGACAAGCGAACGATCTACGGCCGCCTGGCCAAGAAGTGGAAGCCGATACGTAATAAGAATTCAAAGTATTATGTATCGGTCGATCAGTTTGCGGCGGGTGTGTTTCCCTCATTCACCACAGGACCCGCCTACGTCCTCACCGGAGATATTGTGCACGAGCTATATGTCCGCTCCCTAAGACAGTCTATCTGAAGCTAGAGGATGTCTTCACCACGGGCATTGTGGCAAAGAGCTTAGACATTAAGCGGGTGCAGGTGAACGAGTTCGTCAATCGCCGCATCTCGTTCAACCCGTGCAACATACGCAACGCCATCAGCGTGCACATGATCAAGTCGAACGAACAATTTGATCTGTGGAAAAAGCTGCTGGATCAGACAACTAAGTGTAAATAGTATTTTAAGTTTAGATTGTGAAGGGGCAGATAGTAGGCAGATAAGCAGAATGGAGGTGAGGAAACTGAATCTATATAATTTGATAGAGAATGGATGTAGCAAAACGCAGCTATAGGATTATTAGCATTATGTCTAGTTTCTAAGTCCTAGGAATTACACAAATATTTGTCATCGATCAATGGTATCTTTATCTGCATATAGTACAGTACTCGTATATGCATACGACTGGAGACCCGAGACAGAAGAGCGAAGAGAGTACATTTTAAAGGTTTAGTAGTTTAATTTTAGCATTATGAATGCCATTATTTAAATGATAATTACTGAGCGATAACTGTGGTTATATCTTAAAACTAAATACATGTATGTATATCAAGAGAAATTTCAATTTGCCTTCTACTTTTCAACGTCTATCATCCACATCCACGGTGGTGTGCAAATCAGAGCTATTATCCCTCATTATCAAACTCATCTAATTATTTGTTATCCAACTGATTTGAAGCATGGAAAGACCGACTGTTTCTGTGTACATATACTGATTTAAATATTTAAACAACATTTGGATATAATTCCTATTGCCTATTGTCCCAAGTTTCGACTGGCATCTGTTTTATTGAGTATCAAGTATTAGTATTTATCTATCATTTGGCCGGTGATCTGCTGGTAACTTACTTTTAGCGCTTTTTTTGCTCTGCTTATCATTAGGGCAAGGGCAAAGGAAACATCATGGATCTGCAAAGACAGACGAATTCATTAAATGTTTATTACATTATGGGTAAGTCCTACAATCCGGATAGTGTAAAAAATCTCCACATTTCCTATGGACCAGAGTCGATGAATATAACTTTATATTTCTTGATTAAAAAAAATACACATTAAATTCATGGATTCTTCCTGCCCAGCTAAAGGGGTAATGATGATGGATAAAATAAAGCAAACTATAGAAGCGACCGGAGGGAGATCGAACATTCAATCGACAATTCAAAAGAAACAACATCTCCAAAGGTATACGTGCACCCACAAAGTTGATCCACGAGCCTGGATATGATTGACGAAATAGACGAAGATCGGATATGTCCAGACAAGGGAAAGCACATAAATGTGCTTTTGGTCATGCTGAGGCGCGTATGGCCATCCGACAGACATGGGGACACAATGCCAGCCATATAGACATTGGACACGCTGAACAGATCTTATCTGTAGTTGGAGGACATAGTCGAGATGGCTGCATTTAAGCATTAAGCGTAAGGATAGCTATTGTTTTGAAAATCAGGTCATCACATACAATCCGTGCGTCGTTCTCTATCACATCAGCATTCTCCACCCCATAAAACCATTCAAACAATACGATATTTGGAATACCATGCGAAACCAGACTACCAATTGCTGACGTTGCTTAAAACAACAAGACGTGACCTAATTTACGGTTTTTTTATTGTTTGTAGCTGGTTTTTTGATTCTTATAAAATTTACTTATCGACAATAAAAAGCTCTGTAAATATTTGTAATGTGACTAATAGATATGCATATTTGGGATTATGTTATTCGGCTTATTCGTCATACAAACGTCATGCGGCAGCGCCCCTCGGCCTTTCAACGTCAACGTACTAGTTTATAAAACTAGTCAACAGACCAAAAAAACACTGGCATCAGACACACTTTTTCTGATAGACTTGGGGCTCCAGAATTGTTTCATGAACTATGGTTTTTTATTTATTGTTAGGAATAGAAAAACTCTCCCAAATTCATATTTTAGAACTTTTATATTAACTTAATTTCGTCCACTTTCAGTATTCTTAATGTATGTACATAAACTTTATTAATTATTCTAAGTAACAATTTAGCCACCTGATAATTTTTACTACTTTCATATACTTGTAATCGAAAAATCTTGTATATTCAGGCAAACTCAACATGTCGGCACCATCACCACACTACCAGTGCACTGGTAAGGCTTAATGACAATTCATTGCAACTTGAACGAAAATTGCACGGCCAGCATCCAATTCGATTTCACGCTTTGTATGCTCCATAAATGAGATTTGGGGCTGCAATTTAAACCATTAAACAAAGATTTCCACAGTCTGTTGATATGGTTTTGCACGTTCTCTTGGTAAACATTGCACTAACTGGAATATAATTCTGTCTTAACTTAAAATCCACTCATCCGTTCAATCTCCTTCCACAGAAAGGAGGAGCAAACCAGACGAGAAAAATCTAAGTTTAGCGCACAGCAGTATTGAACCCTTTTAGACCCTTTCGGCTGCCAAAGTCGGTTGAGAACGAAGATATAAGAGAAAAAATGCGGAACCAATCTATAACATATCCTAGTACACCCAAGAAGAACATACCGACACAGGAAAAGCTGAACACCACCGGACCCAAGGCCAGCACCATCAATGACAGGAGCAGCCTTCAAAAATCAAGTGACCATGCGGCACTTATGTTTAATGTTTACGAACCCGGCCACCTTAACGACGAGATTGATAACCGGAAGATATGCAAGGACGGTGGGACATTTTTAAAACTGCTTATTCTGATCACCTCAGCACAGTCCCACTTTATGGCCAGAATGTCCATCAGACAGACCTGGATGCACTATGCAAGCCGGCGAGATGTGGGCATGGCCTTTGTCCTCGGCCGCACTACGAATGCGACCCTGAACGAGTCTATCAACCAGGAGAACTATATTTATGGCGATATGATTCGTGGAAACTTCATAGACTCGTACTTCAATCTGACCCTGAAGACGATCTCGATGCTTGAGTGGACAGATACGCACTGTCCCTGGGTGAAGTACATCCTTAAGACAGATGACGATATGTTTATCAATGTTCCTCGACTGCTCGATTTCATAGATGGGAAAAAGGACACTCGAACCATCTACGGCCGCTTGGCCAAGAAGTGGAAGCCAATACGCAGTAATAAATCGAAAAGTTTTGTGTCTCACCAACAATATAGGGGCGCCGTTTATCCACCATTTACCACCGGACCCGCCTACCTCCTCACCGGAGACATTGTACATGAGCTATACATGCACTCGCTCAGAACGTTTTATTTTCACCTGGAGGATGTCTTCATCACGGGCTTTGTGGCCAAGCACTTGATGATTAGGAGGGTGCATACCTTCTACTTTCGCAACCGCCGCATCCCGTTCCACCCGTGCAACATCCGCAACGCGATCAGCGTACACATGATCAAGGAAAACGAGCAATACGATCTTTGGAGGAAGCTAATGGACTCGACTATCAAGTGTAAATCAGTTAAAAATTATCAATATTTTAAAAATATAACTATTCGTATTTAGTCCAATTCTGAATTGTCAATTTAAAAAACTTTCTAATTAAATTAGTTTGTTGCTTATCTGTCATCTGCACTGATAGAAAAAAGGCATAGTAAAAATAACTACATTCATATTTGAATTTAAAATGCGATTTTTAAATACAAACATAGTAAAATTAAATAGAATTCACTTTGATTCAACCATAATTGTATTAAAATGGCTTTTTTAATAGGGTAATATTTAATATTAATACAAAACACTTCAAAATAACTATAATATATTAAATTTGTAGTTTAATATATTTCATATTTAAATTGAATATTATTATGATTTGATTTCAAAATTTCTGTTTTAAAATCAAAAGGAAAAACTTTTTATTTTAAATATTCTGTATTAAATGAAATCAAATATTTTTTGTTTATATTTTAACTATGTTTATATTATTTTTTTATGTCCCTCGAATTCCCAACTGGTTCCAGCTGCTGCCGCCTTGAATACACAGTAAAATTATCTTAGCGCAGGGGCATAATCACAACCAATGCAGTTCTACTCATGTTGCGATTATTTCTAGTTGAAAACTTTAACTTTATCATATTAAATATGAAATATATTAAATTTGAATATGAAACATATTAAACTTAAATATGAAACATATTAAATTATTTATTACGACCGTATTAAAAAAGCATTTTTAGTACATTTATATTTGAATCAAAGTGAATTCTATTGAATTTTACTATGTTTGTACTTAAAAATCGCATTTTAAATTCAAATATGATTGTAGTTATTTTTACTATGCCTTTTTTCTATCAGTGTATATAATATATTATATTATATATTATAATCGTTCGGTTGGATCCGCACACGATCACTCATTATGAGCATCGTACTCGTAAAAGACGAACCCCCTAATACCATGTCACCTGAGAGGCACGTGAGCCTTGACAAAAACGTTCGGACTGGTTAATACGAGTATATTGAAAATTCAAATCTTTTTGGTGCAATAAAAAATCATCGGTGTTTATCTAAATTTCTGTTGAACTAAATTCTATTTTTCATTGCCGGAACACACTCCGGAGAACGCCAGAATATAAAATAAAGTTTTTATGTTCAGTACGTTTATGTCTGAGCCCGCAGTCAAAGGATGCGGTTCTTTATGTTTTTAGGTGCTGTCATGATCATTACCTTCATCTACGCCTCTTTCTCGGCGAAGGAAAGGAAACCCCTCCATTCCGTTGGAGGGTTTACGATGCGCCATGATATCGAGGAAAAAGTTACAAGTGAGTCTTCTCAGGAGACTTCTTATTGTGACTTAACCTTTTATTTTCAGGGAAAATCAACGGCAGCAACAATCATGGGAAAACCATTGAAAATTATCAGCACACCGGTAAGTGTGTAATTATATCTTATTATTGCTCCACCTGAACTCCACTCATCTGTTGAATTTCCTTCTACAGAAAGGGGCATCATGCCGGAGAAGAAAAATCTCGTTTTAGTGCATAGCAGTATGGAAGGCTTTCAAACCTTTTCGGCGGATTTAAATCCACTGCCAAAGTCGGCGGAGAACGAGGATATCAAGAACATAATACGGAACCATCTTTTGAAATACCCAAGGAAACCCAAAAAGAGGCCACGCAATCGGAATCAGTCCCTGAAACCCCTAACCACTGCAAGCAGCGTGAAAACATCAAGAGCTGCACCCGTATTACCTGTACTTACTCCAGTACTTACAATGAAGCTCTATGAAACCGGCCACCTGAACGAAGAGATTGATATACAGAGAATATGCACACACGGGGGATCAAGTTTAAAGCTGCTCATTCTGATCACCTCAGCACAGTCCCACTCTATGGAGAGAATGTCGATCAGACAGACCTGGATGCACTATGCAAGCCGGCGAGATGTGGGCATGGCCTTCGTCCTCGGCCGCACTACGAATGCGACCCTGAACGAGTCTATCAACCAGGAGAACTATATTTATGGCGATATGATACGTGGAAACTTCATAGACTCGTACTTCAATCTGACCCTGAAGACGATCTCGATGCTTGAGTGGACAGATACGCACTGTCCCCGGGTGAAGTACATCCTTAAGACAGATGACGATATGTTCATCAATGTTCCTCGTCTGCTCGATTTCATTGATGGGAAAAAGGACACTCGAACCATCTATGGCCGCTTGGCCAAGAAGTGGAAGCCAATGCGCAGTAATAAATTGAAAAATTTTGTGTCTCACCAACAATATAGGGACGCCGTTTATCCACCATTTACCACCGGACCCGCCTACCTCCTCACCGGAGACATTGTACATGAGCTATACATGCACTCGCTCAGAACGTTTTATTTTCAACTGGAGGATGTCTTGATCACGGGCATTCTGGCCGAGAGCTTGAATATTAGTAGAGTTCACGTAGACAACTTTTGCAACCGCCGCATTATTTTCACCCCGTGCAGAATCAGCTTCGCGATCAGCGTGCACATGATCAAGGAAAACGAACAATACAATCTATGGAGGAAGCTGATGGACTCGACTCTTAAATGCAAAGTAACCATCTTTGAGAATCAAAAGCATCCACAATTGCTTTGAATGCATTGCCGGGAACAAAGATCATATAAATGTTGGGAAAGTTTACAGTTTTAATAAGCTGTGCCAAAAATTAGCCAACCCTACCTATCTTATTAATCTAACTTTTTTTTATTGCTGAAACACGGTAAACACGATAAAACTACATGTCATGAGAGCTTCCGTTTGTTTCAAGTTAGGCAACACCTTCATGCTTGATAAGACAGACCCAATTCCTCCCTGTCTTTCAGATAACAGCAATAAAGTGGTTGTCACACAAATCAATTAATGAACAGTGTAGAGAGCCACTCTGGCCAACACATAGACAGACAGTCGGAACCAAAAATAGGGGGGTGGGGGGGTTCAAAATGCGAGATACTTATAAAAATGTGACATAGTCTTTAAGATGGTTTCTATGAAATTTCAAGGCTGACTGATATGAAACTGTTAAACCTGACAGCTATGTAACTAAAAAAGCCGACTGCAGTGTGAACATATTCTGGCTTCCATTAAACTATTAACTCGGACTGCTATTAGACAATAATAAAGTTTCTATAAAGCTGTGACACTTTGAAACCATTAGAGCTAAATTCTGTGAAACGGTAGTAACTTATAGTTAAAAAATCATGGCCTGGCTACCGTGGCCTACACTGCTGCAGTCTTGCGGACTTTCCCAGGACCGATGCATACAACTGAAGAACATTATGGGGCATTACTTCATCAAGAACTATCCAGCAGAATCTTGAACTGGAATTGGGCGTCAACAAAATGAAGGAATCGTTAACGATTTTCATTGCCTGATCAACAACACATTCACTGAACGGAACATTGCCCGCTTATTTCATGGCATGAGAAGTCCAACGTTACATATTCTGACTCGTCCACATGGAAGTCGACTTCAATCGTATTCTCTGGTTGGCCAGTTAATTATCAGGAGATAATCAAACGGCGGACTTCATCAAAATTGCCATTGTCGGTGTCGAAGAAGAGCTAACGGAACCTTTACATTTCTTTATATAAACTAAAATATGTAGAAATACTTGCTGCAACTCGTTTGCACATAATTACGATGAAAATCGGAGCACTGATCCAGAGAGATACTAAAACACAAAAATTTTGTTTATGCATCCAAGCATTTCCGTTCTAGATATGAATTTATTTGAAAAAAAAAAAATGAAATTTTTGTTGTATGGTTTTACAATACAAAGTGATTAATGCAAAGAATAGGTGCTCGTGTTTAAACTTTGAAAATACGGAAGAGCATCCATATTTGTGTTTCAGCCTGATAAAGGTTAGACACTAGGCGTACAGCTGCAACGCGACATTTTTCAAGCTCCCCATGTTGCATGCGATCAAAAATGTTATTTCCATTGGCCAAAAAGAAGTCCAAGTTTCCAGATTTGAGATGATTCACCAAAAGGACCACATCTTCACAAAGAGAGTGTAAAGATCTTCATTCCAATCAACGTTGATGGAGCAATACAGTTTTCAGCATGTAACTTGATAGATGGGGGCAAATCAGCCTCGTGCGCGTCACGCAAACCCTTCATAAGGCGTAAAACATTTTTGAAATTATTCAAATTCCTTGTTGTTTCACGCTCTCAAAGCGGGGCACACACTTTAAAAATGCGCTCGTCCCAGGAGCCCCGCTTCGATTGCGGTACAGCGAACCACGGCCATTTAGAGAGCTCTTCTGTATATATTGGTGGGGCACGTCCAACGGCCACTGAGCCCAAGTAAACTCGAATGCTGGCACTAAATCAAACCATATGGTGCGACTCCTTCCTTCAGCTTCAATGGTGTGGGCACATCCGTAGCCTTTCTCAGTATACTTTACTTTATAGACTTCTCCAGTGCTGCAACGAAGACGTAGGTTTGATGTGAACACCTCATTGAATGCCTAATTGCCAGGGATCCAGGCATCTTCATCTGTTTGTCCTCCAGTATGGTGACAGCGGTTCGTTTCACTGCCTTGACAGGGCCTGCTCCTGAGGCTGCTGCCTGCCCTATAAGCAAGGTGTCGCGATTATTGTCCATTATTTTTGTTTGGTTGGTTGTTTGGGTTGTTTGGTTTGGTTGTTTGGTTTGGTTGTTTGGTTTAGTTGTTTGGCTTGGATTGTTTTGGTTTGTTAGTGTGGCCGCGAAATTATCTATAAAATATACCTTCGTCCCGACCTTTAGAAATATACCGTACCGAATATATATTGGTAATATTTCAATATTTCAAAGTGAATGAATTCCACCATTGTTTTATTATATTATTATTTATATTAGTATAATATATATATATATTGTAATATTAAATTAAGGAAGTATTTACGTAATACTATGAAAATGAAAAGGTATATTTCGGTATATTCTTAAAGGGTAAGGTAAATTTTAAATGCCGCGGATACAACGGCTTGAACACTTGTCAACAACATTTAATTTAACAAAAGTGGCCAAAAAGAGAACTGAAATAGATTTAAACGAATTGGATGAACTAAAAAAGTTTAGCGGCAACTCCTTAAAAAAAGTGAAAGTCAATTTAGAGTAAGTGATCCGCGAAATTGACCAATTGTACCAAGTTCTGAAAGTGAACGTCGGGTATGATGCTGATAATCTTTTCGATCACTTGCTAAATATCATGACAGACATGACCGCACACGGGATCAAGTGGTGCATGCATATACAAAGACAAAGTCTACGTCTGGCGGCGGCCTTAAAATACGCAGAAGTCCAGAAGTTGACCATGAGTCCAGCAGTTGACTCGCATGCAGCGAGTTAACGCCAAAAACTCATGCGTCGAAGGTGGCCTCAACACATTCAAATGTCCCGGAGTCCTGACCAAGGCGCATGCAGCGAGTGCAACGCCCATAAGTCCCACGTTTGCGTCGGTGGTGGCCTCAACACATTCAAATGTCCCGGAGTCGACCAAGGTGCATGTAGCGAGTGTGACGCTCAATAGCAGCTCCAGTTCCTCGGACTACGAGGCGGTTGATGAGTCGAATGATGTCCATCTAAGCATTTCTAACAACAGCCAACAAAAGGAAGCAGCAGTTCAGCCTGCAAGCCGGTCAGCATGCCCCGTGTAAGCTCATCACAACACAACATACGGACATACGGACAACATACGGTGAAGCAAAGTTCTTGGCATGTGCGGAAGTAGACTGCCTTGAGGGAGGTCTTAGAATTACCGCCAGATACACAGGACACAGCACACTGCAATTTAGATGCAGCAAACAAACCACGCAATTGTAAGAATTGAAATATGTGCTTATACTCGTTGATCAAATGTTTAATATTCGCAGACACTCGCTCCATAGACCACTTCATAGACAATAAATGCAAATTCGGTCAGCAGGTTATAGAGAGAAACGGAAACAGGATGAGACATCTTAAGACTTGGCATCCAAGAGTCTTGTCCCAGGAAAAATTTCCACCTCCTAAGGGCGGAAATTCTTTATCCAGCTTGGAAATATACAAACAGAACCCTTCTGTCCATTCGATGGATTCGATTCGGCAGGGAAGTATCATATACATATGTATATGTGCCAAGTGTATGCATCGCGGAAAACTGTTTCTTTGTAAGGATGCCCAATAAAAGAATGGTAAGGAAAAAAACGCTGCAGGCTGAGTTGGCTCAACCTCCGAAGTTCGGAGAGATTTTCGCAATATTCGCCAATAACCGGCAAGTTATCCGTGCAACAGTCTACGACTATGATGTTGGTGATGTCACGTACGATATGACCTGGGTAAATTTGTGCGTCTGACTGGCTTTGAAAACATATTTTCGATACCGGAGAAGGTACAAAAGTGGCCGGCACAGGCCATTAAATGCGTATTAAATGAAGGCCTAAATGTTGCCTCGATGACCAAGTTGGTGGAAACGAAATTGTGCTTGCGCCTATTGAAAACCGATGAAGAAAAGTGTACGGTCGAAGTTGTCGAGAAACCATCAAATAGAGCTGAGGACCACATTTGGCTAGACCAGAAATTAGCTGAGGAGTGTTGTTCTTCCGATGTGGGTGTGTAGTGTTATTATATAATAATAATAATTATTATAATAATAATAGTTCTCTTCTCTCCCAGATCCTGCCGATGAGGAGCCTCTCGCCCTCTCGATTGAGACTTATGCCACATCTCAGTTTACTGGATCTTCCTCCTGCGAGCCATTAAACCTAATTCAATTATTTTTAAATGCTGGAAATGAAGGTCTGGTGGAACGCTGAAGGGTATACAGCTCAAAAAATTAAAAAACATGTCAATAATAATAATATAATAATAATAATTATTATAATAATAATAGTTCTCTTCTCTCCCAGATTCTGCCGATGAGGAGCCTCTCGCCCTCTCGATTGAGACTCATGCTACACTCATGCCTCCTACGAGCCAGGAGGAATCCAATTTTAATGTTTCAAAGCAGTTTGGAACAAAAAATGTAACATTAATTAAAGGAAATAAGGTATACAAAAGCCATACGCATAGAATAAATTTGGTTGACCAGCAACATTGACTTCACATTTAGTCCACATTTACGCTTTATGCTTTTTATGTAAACAATGCAATAAAAAGGACTTCTTAAAACCCAATCTTGTAGAAAATTGATTTATCTATCGGATAAAACTATTTGTTTAGGGCTAAAAGGTCTAACTAGCTGGTAATATTAAACTGAATATCAATGTCATGGAATACGATTTCAATCAATAAAATAGAACGTTATTCCATTGTCGACCAGGGGGGTATTTAATATTTCCACGAAATTTATTTAACTTTAACATATTTTACGCATTACAGGTGAAAGATGTCGGTGGTCATTTTTGTTTTTTAAGTAAAGAGGAGGTTGGTAGTAAAAGGAGACTTTACAAACCGTATTGTTTTCCGCGGTTTAAAAACGGGTGCTCAACTTTTTAAATAAAGGGGTAATAAGTGGGTTAAGTCTCGTTTGATCGCCGGATTGCCCTGGTTTTTTGTTGGTATGGTATGGACGGTCACACTGATTATACAAGCAAACTAGTGGAATTGAAGCCAAATTGACGCGAAAAAATGCTATAGGGACAGCGGTGAGTTAGCTGAATTGATTATGTTACGTGTTATGATGGATTTGGCCAAATAAAACATTGTGGTAAAATCCCCACGGTAGACGTGGATAGAAAATGTTTGCCGTGTGCAAGTTTCTGCATATACATATGTACGTATACATATGAATGCATGCAAGTGTGTGTATGGGTGTGTGTGTGTAGCATAAACGGCTGCTATTGCCACAAAGGGTGAAAGAAAAAACCAAAGAATTTACATACGTACGTATACTCCATCTTCTGGCTATTTGCCTCTTCGACTATACCTACCCTACTTATTGGATATGTAACTATTCCATTCCGGAAGTTTGATGGCAAAATCACCGCGGCCCCCCAAACGTTGCCCCTAGCAACATCTTGTTTTCTTACAAACAGCTCATGCACACACTCGTACAAAACCACACACACACATACCTGAATACCAAAGAAAAACACTTGAGATCAAGGTAAAGCTCGATTTTTGTGAATGATTCGTGTCCATGCTGAAAGTAATCCTCGACAGACAGAGTGCACGCTCTGACCGCGTATATACAATTTGAATTGGTATTTATTTTTACGCGCTGTCTAAGTTCTGTCTCATTAGCGGCTTTTCAGACGTCAGCAGAAGTGTACATCAGTTTTTGTGTGTGTGTTTGCATGTATGTTAATCTACAGTTAAATGTTTGCTCTTTACATTGCTGTGAGCTGAGCTACGCTTCTATGATTGAGATTATGCAACTCTCTGTCGCTCTGCGTGTTTCTTCAATTCTTTTAATGGAAATTGCCCCGTCCAATAAAGCTGTGTCTCGGTGTCCCTCCTTTCTCCCGCTATCTCCTGGTTACATGTATGGGGGTTATCATCGATGAATTTACTTAATTGCGCTGTCAGCTGATAAGCCCCGTTGCCTGTGCGTGTGTGTGTGTTGTTTTCCTACCCTTCAATATTAGCCTATTGGTATTTTCGCCCCAACTAATTTAATTATTGTCTTTTACTCGTGGCACTTTTTTCGCCACCTTTTTCGCATGTGTTGGTGATTTTTTTATTTTTTGTTTGTTGTTTCTGCTTTAAAGCTATTTTTGTACTATTCTGCGTTTGCCTTTGTTTTGGCCAAGCATTTTCAGGCAGTTAAAGCGTTTTTTTTTCTTCCAAAAGTTATATGGCGGAATAGGGCGAATAATAACTTTCAAAATGCATACCTATACATATAGGCACCAAAACAATTTAAATAAGTGTGAACTTTCCAACACAATTCACCATTATGTGTGGTAACTCCCCAAATTTAAACTCGCCGAAGTAAAATTCTTGATGTAAATATAAATTATACTCTATACTCTGTTTACAGCTGAAAATTAGAACTTCACGGTTCCTTGTGACTCTCTCTGGCCTGTACGGTGTAATATAAATTTCCTGAAATGTTTTTTTAGCACATTTATAAAAAGATAAGCATTTCATGATACTCACATCATGATTTTGTTATTCCAGTTGGCAGTGTGTTCCTAGATAGTATTTCAATAAGTAAACCACCCAAGTAGTCTTTTTTATAGCAGCCATTCCGTGGATCCGTGAGTAACAAACTTTACATCCACGTCGTTAAATAAGTATGTGCATAAGAGTAGCAGTTTACTGCAATAAAATACAATCAATAATTTTTGTGTTACTTTTCTTGCACTTTTGCTTGCAGTGGAGGTATTTTGGACTGCAAAAGTTATCGCAAGCGCTTGCCATTTTTTTATTTACTTGATATTGACTTTGAATTAGCCTCGAAAGTCTCCATGGAGTAGATGACTGTTGAACGATACGAAATGTGATTTATTCGAATTCCATATTCATCCATCTTGATCACTTTTTCGCGTCCAATGGCTTATAATATTAACTGCTGCAATACACACACATACTGCCCTCTTATCAGCTTTTTCCAAATGGCTGTCTGGGTGGCTGGCCGTTAAAAATATATACATTATTTACGCCTCGCATTTGAGCGAATATCGTGAGCGGGGGGGTCAGTCACACCCGGACGACACAGAACGAGAGGAATATTATTTAATAATTTCCTTTTATAGTTTTTCCGTCGTCTTTCGACCCGCCATTGAGTAATCTGGGGAACGCGGTCTCTGTCGTAATTGTTTTGTTGATGCAGGTTGCGGTTTTGGCTTGGAAATTTATTTGTGTTTATAAACAAATCTACGAATGGCTTTTAAAAGGCCAATTATAAGGAAATTCTGATAAAAAATTATTAAAAAAAAACTGATTCATAGAAATATAAAAATAACATCAATACATCAATATATATTTTTAAATACATTCGTCCATTCAATGTTTAAATTTACCATAAATAAACGGACACACATTCCTTTCGAAAGACATAAATCGATGACTAAAGCCATTTGGAATGAGTGTAATATTTGGGATGTTCCATCGAATCATCGGCGAAGTATAACTGCAGCTGGTTCAACTTTATTCAAGTTTTTACCTTTGAGTTCTATTTTCTAATTCTGGCATTAAATATGCCTGGTTCTGCTGCTGCCTCTGAAGTTTCATTCAAATGCAAGAGTCAGCCTTGATTGCGTGCAGACAGAGAAATAAATAAATAAAGAGCTGGCGGAGCAATAGAGCTGGGCTCTGCTCAGCTCCCACATTCGTCATGAGCATTATTACAATACATATACATACATATGTACATATGTACGTAATATGCATTATTCAGAAAGAAGAGACGCTTGAAAAGGCTCTTGGATAGATGAACTTAGTGTTTGTATTTGAAATTTACATTCCTTTCCCTCCATTTTCCATTTCCATATTCAATTGAACCAAAGTTGTGCGTCGCCATTTGGACACGCAAATGGCCCGGCTGGCCCTTCACCATTCGTCGTTGTCTATGCCCCAAACAGCGCTTTTTCGTTCTATTTGTATATTTACCTAACTCTATTGATTTTAGTTCCCTTTTGTTCCCTTCTTTTTTTCTCAATCGAATGGGCAGTGAGGAGTGACGAAGTAAAGGAGTGTAGCAGTGGGCGGTGTGGCACATTTTCGGGGATAATGACAAAATCAATAATAACCAAAAAAAAAAAAAAAAAGAAAAGGAAAACTAATTTGTGTGTACCGTGTCCTCCTTCCCTGCAGGTGTACTATGCGACCATATAAATATCTAAGATTACATACGGAAAAATGGAAGCAATATCGAAGATTCCCCTGATATTGTTCGTCGTCGTTGTGGTTGCCGCTGCCTCCCAGCCTGGATCTGGATATGCATCTGGGGCTGGCAGCAGCAGCTGCCTCATCACCTACAGCAGCAATGTAAATGCGGCTGTAGCCCAACAGGAACACCATCTACAGCCACACCAAACGCAGATCAAGGCCAGGACCCGGTCCTGGCAGGAGCACGAGTTCTCGCTATTGGGCTACAAATTCCATCTGCCATTTGTGGGGCATGCGGTGGACGCGGATCTAGATGATAGTGACAGTGATGGGGGCTTGTGGCTGGATGAGCTGGATGATGCCAATGAGGCCACAGAGGAGATGGAAGAGCACGTGCTGGACAGCAGTGTAGCAGTAGCCAATCTGTTGGCCGACAACGTGTTCAAGCTGAGGTGCCAGCATGTCGGCCTTGCGAGCGTCAATCGGGAGCTGTTGTCCAGAAGGAATGCCAACATCAACTATCAGCAGCTAATGCTTGACCATGTGCCTGCGGATGATCGGGTGCAGCTGCAACAGCTGCAGCTGCAGCAGTTCGAGAACATCAAAGAGTTGTCCTGGCTGGAGAGCGGACTCCGCGATGATCCACTGAGGGAGCTGCTGGTCGTCAAGGGGCAGCCGCACCGTTTCGACCAGATGGAGCGTCTGGATCTCAGCGAGAATCGTTTGGAGTGCCTCAACTGGGCCATGCCGCAGGCCATGCAACGCCTTAAAGTACTTAAGATGAGCGGAAACCTTCTGGACAACAACTGCAGTCTGATCAATCTGCAGCATATGGGTCATCTGCAGGAGTTGCATTTGGACAGGAATGGCTTCAGGCTGCTGCCGCAGCACTTCCTGGCCCAATTGAACGAATTGCGGCTGCTCAATCTCAGCCAGAATCGTCTGGCAGAGCTGCCACGCAACATATTCGAAGGTGGTGTGCAGCTGGAGAGGCTCTATTTGTCCAAAAACCAGCTGAGCGTGCTGCCGTTTCAGCTCTTCCAGACGGCACGTGACCTCCAAATGCTGGACCTCAGCGACAATCGGCTGCTCTCCTTCCCGGACAACTTCTTTGCACGGAACGGACAACTGCGACAGCTGCATCTGCAGCGGAATCAGCTGAGATCCCTGGGCAAGCACAGCCTGTACAATCTAAGGGAGCTTCGGCAGCTAGATCTCTCACAGAACAGCCTGGCCAGCATCGATCGCAAGGCGTTCGAGTCACTGGGCCAACTCCTGGCCCTCAACATCTCGGGCAACAACCTCACGACACTGTCCTCCATCATCTTCCAGCCGCTGCATGCCCTCAGGCAAATGGATCTCAGTCGGAACCAGTTTAAGCAGCTGCCGAGCGGTGTCTTCCAGAATCAGCGGGCTCTGGCCCTGCTGCGTATCGATGACACACCAATCGAGCATTTCACCAACTGGATATCCCGCACCGATGAGTCGCTGGTGGATCCAGAGATACTGCATCGGTTGCGATATTTGTCGCTGCAGCAGAATCCCCAGCTTACGGATCTTCCCGAGACGCTGTTTGCCAATGCCCGCAATCTGCGGGAATTGCTGCTGGCCGAGAATGGTCTGCTCCAGCTGCCAGCGCAGATCTCGGGCCTGTCGCGGCTGCAGCGTCTCAGCTTGCGTGGCAATCGTTTGATCTCCCTGCCCGAGGGCCTCAAGGAGCTCAGCCATCTGCACTACCTCAATATACTTGGCAATGAGTATCAATGCGACTGCAGCATGTACTGGCTGACTGCCTGGCTAGCCAATTCCAGCACCAGCCTGCGCAGGCTGCCCGCCACGCATCAGAGCCAGACGCCGCTGGACTCTTACGAGAGCATTGATGACCAGATCGATGCGTTGAAGTGTCAGTACGGCTATCCCGGGGACATGCTGCGTGTCCTCAGCAATCTAAACTGTACCGTGCCCGTGGCCGTGCAGTCTTCCGAGCCGAAGATGCATCTACTGCTGACCACCGCCAAGTTAGAGTGCATGATAACAGGCAGCCCAGTGCCAGATATTATTTGGGTAGGGCCACTCCCACTGATATCCTACACACGTAGCCAGTAGCTAATTCGTTTTGTTACAGCTGACGCCACGCAATAAGATCTTGCGCCATCATGCCGATCCCGACAAGCGACCCATAATCATTGAGAGCAATGAGGAGGAGCGCCGCCTGCCGCCCAGCGCTAAAGAGCTGGCTGCCTTGATGGACGAGAGCTACATTCAGTCCATGAATTTTACGCGACAACAGAGCCTGGTCGGACGCCATGTGGTGCTGATGGAGAACGGATCGCTGCTGGTGCACAATATCTCGCGGGTGGACAGCGGCCTCTACACATGCTATGCCTTCAATGTGATGGGCAAAGCCTCGGCAGGCATACGGTATGACTGTCAAGCTTTTTAGTATATTGAAACCATCCGAATCTATTTGCTAAATGATCCTCTATCTTCACACAGATTGTATATCGATCCGATAGTGTTCTATCGGGTGAAGATTGGCAGCCTGATTACGGGGGCCGCTTCGGCTGCAGCCTTTCTGCTGCTCACCCTCATAGTTCAGGGTCTGCGGAGCTGCCTCTCGCGCTGGGGCATATGTGATCGATTTTATTGCTGTGCCAATCGCAACAAAAAGTCGCCGCGGGCGCGTCAAATCTATGCGATGCTCGACAACATCGAGAGCTACAAGAGCCAGCAGCTGGAAAGACTGAGGGAGAACTATGCCCAGCAGGTGCATCGCATTCGCGAGAACTGTGCGCAGCAGGTCGAATGGATATCGAGCAGCTACACCTCTCAGGCGAAGCACATCAAAGAGTTTCGTGACATTGGCTCTAATCATTTGACGGCGCTGAAGGATCAGTACTACGATCAGGTAAAGAAGGTGCGCGACTATTCCACGGGGCAGCTGAGCTGGGTGCGAGAGAACTATGTCTTCCAGCGTAACAAGATCCGGAAGTTCAGTGCCCATCAAGTGCTGCGTCTGCGGGAGGGTTACAAGTACCAGCAGCAGAGTATCAACAAGGTCCTGGAGAATTTGCCCAGTTTTTACTTTGAGAATTGTCGCGCAGGCTGTGATGAGGATATTGCCGAGGGTAAGATCTGATCCACTTAGTCTTCTCCTTAATGAAACATTCTCACTCGCTCTCTCTGTATAGACATAGACTGCTATTTCAAGAGCCAATTGGAGCTGGCTGGCTCAAGGGAGCTGAGTATACAAAAAATCAAATTACGTTTGGCCGCGAACAATGCCGCCAGCAGGGCATCAATTTACTACACACCACCGGACGATGATGATCTGCTGCGCTTGTCGCATCTAAATCTCCAGCATACACCGATTCACATCAACTACATTGATGAGAATCTCGATCAGCAGAAGCAGCTGGAACATGACTTCAAAATGGATCCACATCTGCTGTTGTTCGATGCGTCCCGTCTTTACCTGAATCCCGAGGGGGCCAGCAGCAGTGGCCAGGCAGCTGCCATGGCGGCTGCCCTTGCTTTGGCCCAATGCAGCAGCATTGAGGACAACAATCAGGAACAGGAAGACGAAATGCAGCCTTTGACGCAGATCAACCGACTCGATCTGGCAGACTCGAATGATGTCAAGAACTCCAAATCGTGTCCGGCCATCTATAAGGTGTCCAAGCAGCGGGATGGCAGCACGTTGCACGAGCTGCTGACCACGGACGGTGTGCCGCATCAGATGCTGCGCCTGAATCCAGTCGAAAGCACGTTGGCCATGCAACCGCGAAAAGAGAAGCTGAACATTATACTGGACGAATGTGGCAAGGCTTCGCTATGCAAAGTCGAGCAGCAGAAGACGAATGAAGCGAATGAAGGGCCTCCCGGTATTGACACACCGCCATCGGTTTCCACTTGCGACTCCAATAGCCTAGCTGGCAGTTGCAGTGATGTTTGCCCATCGCCCAGCAAGCTGGACAATGCCACACGGTTGCTTCCACCACAATCATCATCATCAACTGCTTCTCCACTCCATGCAGTAGCTGCCGAAACTTAGAGATTCTTTTTTATAAATATTATTTGTATGCCTAACAACAAACAAAACAAACAAGGACGAAGTATGAATAGAAACGACGATAAATGGATGCAAAAACACATATGCAAATGAAAGTTAATGTTAAATGATATGATAATGGTAAATACTAAATACTAAATACACGTATGTACATTTGTAAGGCAGCAAACACAATAATTACGTTTAGAATTAATTAGCGAAACTTAATGAATTCAACAAGCTGAACATTCAAAGGTCTTTCAAGCACACAGCGAGAACAAAAGTAAAAAATAAACAAAACAAAAAAAAACACACACATTAGCGATTATATACCCAAACAACCTACTTTTATGCCTGAAATTAAAGAATTTTTGAAGCTACCTCTTGCTAAGGTATTATCAGCTCATGTCAATAATACTTGAAAAGAAAGCCTCTACCCCCCCGCCCCCATTTGTGATTTCATTCTACATTTACGAATACGAGTATATACAGCATACAATTTATAAATAGCAAGAGACAAACCGAATCTAGCAGGAAGTCAGGCGTATTTTAAAGCTAAATTAACAAATTTTAATCAAATTCTAACAACAACAAAAATGTATCGGCAAAAAAACAAAATACAAATGATTTAAAAAAAAATAAAATGTTTACTATATAAACACACAAATTTCCATATATACATATATAAGGAACTTCCTGAAACTCAAACCTTGTTCTGAGTTTAATCAAAGACTAAACAATTACCATGTTGTTGTTGCTGGTGGCTTGAATTCTCTTTTCACCTATGCCTACTCGTCTTCGTCTGTTTTAATGCCTTGAACAGTTGAGTCGATCGTTTCGTTCCGAAGAAACCAATAACAAAATACAGTATTTTGGGCGCCGCTCACAAGTACACCGAGGCTCGGTCCCAAGAAACTAAAAAGAAATTTGGGATGACTCAGGAAATTGATGGACGGCGATCAGAGACGAAGGATAGCACAAAGGAGAATTGGAGCACCAGTATCCGGCGCGCGCGTACCACGAAGCATCACAAAAAAATCGAAAAGGAATTTATTTCCTGATGCAACATCGTAATTTCTAGTCTTTGGTTTAATATTATTTTCCTTAACCCAGGTAGTAGACGTATAAGTATTTAAAAATAACCTTATCATACCAAGTTTTCATTCGTAAGCAGACGTTTGAAGAAGGAATACACAATTATATTTACTCTTAAACAAAATGAAACTTCTTGTTATTTCACAAGTATGTACATATGTCATGATTTCCGTAGACTTTGCAGATGTTACAATGCGGATTGCTCCTGCCCTTGCCTGCTGTGACCATTCAACGACGCGCCCGAATGGCCCCTACAAGCATTTAAGGATTAAGGATTAGTCAAGCGCAGCGCAAACTTGTGGGTTTGCTTACCACAAAACTTATTGCGGAACAACTGGTACAACGACCATGTGAATGTGTGAATGGAATTGAAGCAAGCCGTGTTTTGTGGCTCGCAAGCTGATCGTTAAGCTGATCGCGGATCCTATCATCATAATTTTCAACATCAGCAAAATCAACAAATCACCGCAGCGAATGCGTTGCAAAATGATCAAATCACTGGCTCTGTATGCCCAATTGTCCAATGCCCAATGTCCATCTATTGCAAGTTCTTGTAGCAGGCCCTGCCGCTGCAAGGTCAGACCGCATTCGATGTCTTTGAAATTCAGGCGTTGTCGCTGTTCGATCCTAATAGCACAAACCACTGGAAAATTAATGTAATTTTCATGCTCATGAACTGTGGACATATCTAAAAGTATAATGGCGAATTAATTGGCTCAATCAGAGCGCACAATAAATTAAAATGTTTTTAAAGGATCTCGCGATATTTAATCCGACTAGAAAACTTTCTAAAACGAAAATATAAACACAAAAACAGAATAGGGGGCGGAAGGCCCAGCCTATGGGTCGGGGCACTCGGGCTGCTTGAGGATCTCGATGCAGCAGGGATTGGCATCGATCTTGCATGGCTCGCTATCGGATTCCACTTCGCTGAGATCGTACTCGCACTCGCAAGGGAAGCACTCCATTTCACCCTCCTCCTCGCCCTCGGCCTCCTCACCCTCGCCATAGTAGCTGATCTTCTCCTCGCTGCGGATGCTAGCAACGGTGGACAACGAGCAGACCGAAAGCTCAGAGTCAGAAATTGGCAATGGCACTGGCTCCTGGGGCAAGATGGAGTAATCGTAGACGGCAATCTCCTGGGCGAACCACAGGGATGGTTCCATGGGCAGTGGATTGCCCTCCTCATCTTCCTCCAGGCCCTGCAGCTCGTCTTCGGCCAGATTCTCGTTGGAACGACCGTCCTTAAACTTGTAATTGGCGGGCAGAAAGAAGCCCAGCAGCATATAGCGATTGTCGAAGCTGAACACAGCCGGCCCGATGGGGTAAAGATTATCCCAGAGTCCGTGCAGAACGGTGCACTTGTCGTCGTTGCCAATGTGCAGCTCAAAGGGCCCCATGCGAATGTTGTAACTCCAGGTGGACTTTAAACGCAGCGACATGCAACAGCTGTCCTTGTTGCCGTTGATGCTATAGATGCCCACACCATGGCGCTGGCCCTTGTACCAGTCCCCCGAGTAGGTGTCCCCATTCACATAGTTGTAACGCCCCTTGCCATGCTTCAAATGCTTGCGCCAGTTGCCCTCGTAGACAGAGCCATCGGGATAGATGAAAATGCCACGACCACAGCGTTTGCCGCAACGATATTGTCCGTAGTAGCGTGAGCCATCCTTGAAGACATAAAGGCCAATGCCATGGCGGCGTCCCTTGCGATAATTGCCATCGTACTGATCGCCATTGGGCAAGATGGCCCAGCCGCGTCCGTGACGTTGTGCCGCAGCATTACGACCGCCTATATAAAGCTGGAATAGAGGAAATTTACATGTAGACATCTAAATATATTAAATCTTTATTAACATACGCCTATGTTGGGTCCCTCGTCCTCCTCCTCGGGAAAGGAGACATCCGACTCCTCTGACATGTCCGATACGCTCATGGTGTCGTTTTGATTTCGTTGCTTTTAGTTTTATTTGACGAGAAAATTACAGATTGACTTAACTTACTTTTTGGAAATATTATATAGTGTAGACATTAAAGCAAATCAGTATTAGATCTGTATATAGGACTTGGGAAAGGAAAGGCAAAGCTTACTGCATAAAATAAATATCAGAACCGAGAGCTACGTATTCTCATAGAAATAATTCGCCAGTGGGTAGCGTATGACTAGGGCTATAAGCGTGCACACCACCTGTAGGGCCATCAGCATTTGGGTTACCACCCGCTCATGGACGGGCCCAAAGATGACCAGAACAAAATTGATCAGCGTCAAGTTGTTCGTTCTCACGACACCATCCGCTGTTTTGTGCCAGCTTATCAGATGCAATTTCCTTAGCACTACGACCATTAGACGCCCCAGACTATTCAGCTCCTCCAGTCGAAATTCCGTGGTGCTTATGTGGAGGAGATCCGTTTTGGTGTCGTACTTGGGCAGGCGGTGACGCGGGCAGGGCACAAAGTGAAACAGCTGCGGCGTCGAGTACAGAAAGTTGAGTATCTGGGGCAGAAAGAATAGCAGCAGGGTCTTGCTAAAGTGTCCCAGAATGCCAACCACGGCAAAAGTCATGCCGGCAAAGTAGCAATAGGTGTCACCAACGAAAACCTGCGAGGGATATCTGCAACAAAAACAAAGGGAAAATTTTTAAATTTAAATAACTTAACTTGCGGTACGCGGAAAAGTAACTGAAAAATTCAATTAAAAATAGAATTATATTTAATTAGTAAGTTTAAACACCCTTAAAAATTACGTTATATATTTAAATAATTTCCCATTTACTATTTACACTAAGGTGTGTTAAAATTTAGCGGAAAAACGCTAAACTTAAATGATCTAACTATAAATTTAACGCCATCAAAAACATAGCGTTGAGTCTTTTAAGTTAATAATCATATTAATAATCATTTAGATAATTATCTGAACAATTTTACACGCAGTAGTGAAAAATGTAGCCAGATTTAGCGGTAAAAATGCTTTACTGCCAGCACTTTCCAACAGCTGTAGAGAAGAGGACATTTCCGACAGCTGTGCGGGGGAGTGGAAAGTACAATTTTTTGGGTGTGTTTGGCCGAGAAAAAAAAGCAGAGAAAGAACGCAATATTCGTTGATAAAATGAGCAGGAAAAACTATTAAAAAACTCAACCGCTATGGTGAGAAGCACAATTTCGGTGTCGCAGACGCTAACATCTGCCACCGGCGGCATCGGCATAGGGCGTTTGGCCATAACCAAAAAACTGGTGCTCTGGTCCGTGCTGATACTTCAGATTGGCTTCATAGGCTGCATATGGCTGTTGCAGATGAACTACAGCACCCAGGATCAGCAGCAAGGATTGGATCTGGGCCACAACCGCGTGAACTTTGTCAAAAGCGAAGGAGGAGGAGGACAGACAGGAACAGATAGGAGTCAAAGCCAAAGCCTGGGCACTTTCTGCCCCAGACAGCACGAGAATGTAAATCGCTACGACAGGGACTTTTATCAAATGAAACCAGACAGACTGAACGATACACCAATACAGGCGGACGACTACAATGTCCCCGCCTATGTGGAGATGGAGATGGAAACAGCGGCCGCCCTGTGGTGCTATCGCGAGGGTACCATCAACGAGAGCAGCCTGCACATCAATGATGTGGACTATCTGATGGCACCGCCGCAGTGCAAGTGCGCCAGCGGCTGGCATGGCCGAGACTGCGGTCAGCCAGAGATCATCTGGCGTGCCCTGATGACGCACAGTCGGGCCAGCAAGCGGGGAGGCGGCACTGCGCCACTGCAGCTGACGGAAGCTAGTTCCAGTTCCCTGCATCGACTCTTCTACATGGTAGAGCTGGGTGCCTGGGAGCACATCAGTCTGGAGCTCTTGGAACTGCAACTGAGGGCCCTGCTCGAGGTGGTGGACTACTTTCTCATCTACTACGTGAGCAATGGCAGCAAGGAGCGCAGTCTGGACAGTCTGCTGGGGGGCAAGGCGAGCTATGTACTGTTCCGCTGCACATCAGCTGGCAACTGCAGCAGTGCTGTGGCCTATGCACACTTTCGGCGGCAACTCTGGTCGCTCTGCGGTGTGCAGATGGAGGCCAAGGATCTGCTACTCCATGGCGACAGCCGGACTGTGTATGCTCCGGCCGCTTTAAAGTTTCTCAAATACTATGCAAAGGATGTGCTGCCGCTGAGATTTCGTTTAAAGTACAACGTGTACGGCTTCTATTGGCAGCATCCTAAAAGAACTCTCCTGAACGGTGTGATAAGTTCCTTGGGGCATCTGCGTGGCGCCCAACTAGATCCCCATCTGCTGCAGCGCCAAGCCAGCAATACGCTGGGCGATCTCAATCATTATGGTGGCTGGAGCTGTGAGCTCTGCCTGCCACCCGAGCAGATTGTACTCCTGCTCCAGCAGCAGCCGTCCCATAAGCTAACTGTGAAACTGCCCAACGACACGCGAAATGCCCACATTGATGCCACCTACATGCAGAAACAGATGGCGAATGGTTACCACATAGACGGGGCCACACAGCTGCTGCGTTTGCGTCAGCAAAGCGAGAAGTATTATGCACCCGATGAGGCTCTCCTGCACAGCAGCCAGTTCGGGCAGCTGCTAGTCAATCTATACGATGTGGATGTCTTCGAAGATCTCCAGGAGGAGGCAGACTAAAGGCGATGCTCAAGTCTGACTTGAACTAAATAGATTACAAAATATATATTTATATATGTGCCTGCTTTTGAACGCCCCATCAATGTCAATCTCGATCTCATCTCATAATCACCATATCATATCATCCGCGTTGCCCGCCCTTCTGTGTTTTTTGGCCAATCGTATTCCAAATTTATTATCTCTCAGCAGACAGGACAGACAGACCCGCAAAATCTGTGATAAGAAACCAACAACTAAACCAAATGAATTTATCGAAATATGAAACTAAAACGAAGAACATTTTGCTGGAATTACAAATACTATGTTGTGGAAAATAAGTTGAACGGAATTTAGCATTATTTTTAAGAAATACATAAATATACGGAAGCAAACATACATGAACTGTAATGCGAAGTGTTAAATTATAATGAATTCAGAAAGATATTTTTTTAGGTTTCATTAAAATCTTAATTCAAATTTGTGTACACTATTTAATAGTAGTTAAATAAATCTTTAAATTGGGCCTTTTAAGGACAAATTATATACCAAACGAAAGGTATTGAGGTAAATCAGGAATATATACATATATACTTTTTGATAGACACTTCTCCGTTTTAAAGAGTTTTGAATTAAATTTTTATTTTAAATTTATATAATCAATAATAAGGTTTAATTTATAAAAAAGAAATAATTTTTTATTATTACTAAAATCAGAAAAACCGAGAGTAAAACTAATTTTTATAGTTTGTTTTAAATCAATTTAAATATTAATATTTAATTTTATATTAAAATTGAGTTACTTCTGATTTTAATAATAAACATCTTTAAAAATGAGTTATTCCTGATTTTAGTGAACAAATCAGAAACAAAAATTTATACTTTCAAAATTGATAACTAAAATCAGAGATGACTTTTTTTTATTTTTTTTTATAAATTATTTCTAAATGTTATTTCTGATTTTAATAATAAAAATCCAAATAAACTTGTATTTCCTTATAATTTGTACTATAAAAAAACAATCTTTCGGAACCAGGACCAAACGCGAACTTGGCGTTCAGAGTTCTATCATGTTCAGAATTATATTAAACTTGTTAACTTGCCAGATCAATTCTCAGTATTTAAAAAAAAAAATTACGTAGAAAAATATTAATTAAATAAACTTACTTGTTAAATTTCCAAAGGGCTAGAGTGGTGGCCAAAAAGGGCAACATGAAGAAAATTGAGAAAATGTGCGAGTCCACCTGATGGCCCAGCGTGAATTCAATCAAATTGAAGACCAGTATGGAGCCGGCAATGATCAGGGACTGGCCCACCTCCAGGCCATTGATGCCTGCCAGAATATTGATGGCATTCGTACAGAATACAGCCAGCATGCCCATGTACACATAGTAGAGTACACCTAAACAACAGAGACAACAGAGACTTAGCAGATGCCATTAAGTTGGCTGGAGACAAATTCTACTACCTATATTCAATGATGTACCCAAAAGGCCACGTGCAAAGTTCGGCATTATGACGGTGGTTGAATTGTAGTTGACATAGTACACCATAAGCAGGGGCAATGTGGCTATGGTGGGCAGGAGCAGTTTGTGACGCCAGCGCAGATCCAAAACATCGTCGGCAAAGCCCAAAAATATCATGCAGCAAATGGATAGCAGAGCGGCAATCAGTTCCACAAACTTTTTGGAAAGATAAGCAGAGGTACAAATACAGGCACAACGTAATTAATTAACAGAATACGTACTTTATCGTGTGGAAAGGTGGCGGGTTTTCCGCCAGTCACAACATCTGTGGCCGCCGCCTCATCGAATGCGAATGGTATGGGAATGAATAGGAATAGAGAGACCAAGAAGATGCATCCAATCAGCACGCCAAAGGATTCGGGGCTGCAAAGGGAAATCTATTATATTCTATAGAAAATATTCTCCTTAGAGACTTACACCTGTGGCTTGTCCTTTTTACAGAGATCATTGCCAAAGAGATTGGCCTTGATGAACATCTCACGGAATCGTGGTATCATGCGCACTGCCATGCAGTAGGATGCCACGGATATGCCCGCATTTATGGCTATTGCTGTTCCCGACATGGTGATTGCTCTTGAATATAAATGCAACCTCCGCTCCACTACTCTGCTGCACACTAATTCAATTAGCGCGCGTGCAATTATTGCATCAATGCAGTCACGAGGTCAGCCAGCGATAACTAAGGTTTGGAAATTCGGAATAGCGGGAAAACTATGTTCGAACACTATATCATCTTGCCGAAAAATCTAATTACGATGACGAAAGTACACGCAATTAGCTGATAACAACAAACACAGCTGTTTTGACCAGGGATGAACTGACTATCATTCCGCATCGATATGTGTGGTCGATAAGTCTACAGCATTTTAAGCGCCATCTGTTGATGGTTACATGAATCTTATTAATTTATTATTATAAATAATATCATTTCTTTACAGCACAGTTGGATCAAAACTCCGTTATTACACATATAAGCAAAGATCTTCCATAACAAAACAGAAATTATATAAGGTGAATACTTGTTGTTTTAGAGCTTCCTTGGTTGGTTCCTTCATCTGCTGCTATCTATCCCTGAAGAAGGGAAAGGCTTTCTGCAGTTCCGCCTTCGATTTGCAAGCCTCCACCTGTGGCAATGTCTCCACCAGATTCAACAAATAGATTTGCAACTGCTGCCGCCGTTCCTCCACAAACACAAGATTCATATTGCCAAAATGCTTCTTGGGCGGAAACTCCACAGAGCTGACCACCGGATGGGTACGCATCAGGGACTTGTGCAGCTTATTGAAATCACTGTAGCGTCGAAACAGCGTCCAGTGCTCCAGCCGCTGCCGCATCGTTATGTGTATCTCGTAGGTGTAGTGGGAGCCCGAGCGCTGGGACTTCGTAAGCTTCACATGTGGAATGGTAATCAGGAAGTTGGAGCAAAACGATGAGGATGGATCAATGCCGGTTTCTTCGAACTGCCTGGTGAGGCGACGCACCAACTGACGGTTCTGTAGTTTTAGCTCCTGGACGCGGGTCTCCAGCAGGGCACAGCGTTCGGTGAGAAGATTCATCTGCTCCTCCAGCGCCACTTGCTGTTGCGTGTTGGCCAAGCAGGTGGCCGATGAGGAGGACTTGCTCCACTGGGATGAGGTGTCGCTGCGGTCCTCAAACTCCGTATCGATGGCAGCTTGATGGTTTGTGGGCTGGATATCTGGCAAGGGAGTTTTAAGGAATTCCAGCTCTGGTTCTATCGGATCATACGGGGCGGTAGATCCATTGTCGGCTGTCAGTCTCGACAACTCCTCCTCCACGGCATCTTTGGACACGAGCTGTTGCACCTCCAGCGATTCTCTAGGCGAGAACGCACCCAACAGATCTTCGGTGGAGCTGGCCCCCTCGATGGGACGCTCCACAGCATTGACAGTGCGTCTCTGTTTACGCGCTGCCACAGGTACTGGATTTGGGGCATATATAATGGGCTCCTCCTTGCCCGGAACGGCTGCCGTCGACCGTTTGGGAGCATTCAGTTCCGTTGTGTCCACTTGGAGGGCGAACAACACATCCTTGAGAGTGTCCAGAATCTCGGGCAGCTTCTTGGCAGCCTCTTCGTTGAGCAGCAGCGACCACGGTGTGTAGTAGCGATGCAGCTGCTCCTCGTCGCTCAACCAGGTAAGTACGTGACTCTGCAGTCGCTTCTCGTTGAGTGTGGATCGGATAAAGGCCCGCCCGCGTCCCGTCTTTGTCCATATCTGCTTCAGTTCCATGTAGCGTTGTCTTTCATGCGGCGTTAGGTGCGATTGGCAAAAGTCCCAAAAAGTGGGGTCATTGCTGTTGGTGCCGCTGCTACTCCCACTCATAATCTCCTGCATGTTCTGGATAAAGCTGGCCGCACTGAAGGTCACGCTGATGGACTGCCGCAGGCCATAGCTGAGCAGATCCTCCAGGGCCTCGCAGAATTCCTGCACAGATTCATCCTGCTCGGTGGCCAATTCTTTGCCAGCATATTCGAGGGAGATTTGATGCGCAGTTTCCTGCAGTCGTCGGAAGATATCCTCGCGTCGTTGTCCAAATGTGCTGCCATTCAGACTGGTCCGCATGCTCTTCAGCGACTGCTCCAGAGAAGCATTTTCTGGCATTGTTTTTAAAATATTTATTATTTAATTACATCGGGCGGAAAACGATAACTGCGTTTCATTATTTCTTGATACCGATAATTGATAGTTTCATTATTTCATTGATAATTTCATTTTTTCTTTGATAACGATAACTGCGTTTCATTATTTCATTGATAGTTTCATTTCTTTGATACCGATAGCTATCGATAGCGATATCGATAGATCTGGTCATTTTGCGCGAAAAACAATGCCAAAAATGCTATCGACTAATGTGTAGTGCAACCCTGGCAACTAATTGCCAGTCCTGCTCTGGCTCAAAAAAATCGCATAAATCCGTAATAAAACAATTTAAAATGCTTAAAACTGTTCTGCAACAAGTGGATATTGTACATAGACACTAAAGCCAACGCGTTAATTGTGCTACAAATGTAAGTTAAACCATCGCACGGCTATTTTCCAGCGTTTTCTTTTGTGTTCTGTGTTCGTTGGTTGGGTTGTCTGTGCGCACCGTGCGCTTCATTGACTTTTCGAGCGAGTGTATGTGTTTGGGCCCAAAGTAAAAAGAATTACACGAAATTCGGTGATATTCTATTAAAATGTGTGCTGTTTTTGGGGCTTGCAACAATTGCATTTGTTTGAAACTAATTTTAATATGTCTGGCCAGGCAGCAACGGAAGTCATTAATCACATTTCCATGCCGCCGCTCTGCCTTGTAGCGCCCTTTGCGCAGCAGCTGCGTGCGAAAAAAAAAACGTAAAGAGAGAGAGAGAGAAAAGGAAAAAGGCAAACAAACGGGGCTCAACGAGGAACAGGCGCCGCCGGATAAACTCCATATGGCCCTTGGGAACTTGCAAAGGAGTCATTACTGTATATGTGTGTTTGCCTTCGTGTACGATTGTCTTGTGCGTTTGTCTGTTTGTGGAGCTCTAACTAAAAAAAGGAAAACACTGAAATGATCTGCTGAGAATGTGTACATATACTCTCAGACATGTGCTCGAAAGTCCTGTCCTGTCATTCCAATAGAAAAAAATGACTAAATTATAAATAAAGATCTTAAACAATTTTGTAAAAGCTCTGTGGCAATCTACCGATCTACTGGCATTCAATTGCTATGGCTAGTTGCTACTTCGTTCCTGTTTATGTTACCAGTAGGATAACACAGTTTAAATAACTAAATATCACAGATTATTTCATAAGCTGCATAAATAAATAAATTTAGAAAATAAGCTTCGTCTGGCATCTACCGAAAATCATCCACATCCGATCAGTGCTGACACTCTGTGGAATTAAAAATTTGAAAGATTATACCACAGCAAAGACAAGACGTTCTATGGGGTTCTATGGGCTACATATTTTAGGGAATTTCTTTTAGGTCCGAAGAACCTAACAAAAAAATATACAGCAATTGGCGATGTTTTTAGTAATTTAGCATTTAGTAAATTGAGTTTTATAGTTCTATTAATAATTAATTAATTTAATAATTATATAAATTTATTTTCTTTTTAATATCCCTGTTTCCAGCTGCTGTTTCAGTAGAACAGTAGAAGATCTACACGCAAAAATAGCTGCGAATCGTTTCATATAAATGTTTTGGCCCTATTGAATCCCTGGAAACATCAACTCAACATCATCGTCTATGAATCCGACCGAGCTGCATATGATGTGGATGAGTAGTCAGTATAATGCCGCTAACAATATGACATTGGAGGATGCGACAGCACTATTGAATCATCCCACTGTTGGACTGCTGGAGGAGATGTCTGGCCATCATCATCAGCCCACTTTGGTGAGTTAAACTCAAATACTTAGAGCCAATCTCTCAGTTCAAAGATTAGTAAATATAAAATACAAAAACTATCTGTTGAGTATAAGATTAAGATTGGTTTATATTTGTTAGTCTTTGAATACTGAAAACAAACCCAAATTCCTTAGGCTTATAATGGGGATTGGCCACAGAAATCATAAAAATCCTACTCTTGTTTGTGTCTCAGTTTTTTGAAAGAATTGGAATTCGTTTACTTATTTCTTCTACTTTCTTTTCTATGATTTATGTATTCGGTTAACAATTTAACAAACAAAAATCAACACAAAACACAAACCAATCGAACCAACCAACCAATCAACAAACCAACCAATGATCGATCCCTCCACACATGATAAAAATAAAAAGGAAATGAATCCCATGATGGGCCTGGTTGGGGGTGATTTCAATGGCCATACAGCCACACTGAGTGGCACCCTACCGCCTGGCACTCTGATAGCCACCAACACCAACAATCTGTATAGCTTTGCCCATTTGGGTGGCCTGCAGCATCAGTTGCTCCAACAGTCGGCGGCTGTGGCCGCCTTTCAGAACTATACCGAAGTGATGGACGCTGATGGTGTGACGGTTGGCATGACCACAGATCCACATGGCGAGCTCATGGCTGGAGTTGGTGGTGGTGTGGGCGGCGATGCGTGCGATGATGAGGATCAGGTGTATGGCCACCAGATCGATGATGGCTATGATGATGGTGGCGCTGGCCTGGAGCCCAAGCAAGAGATAATCAACATTGATGACTTTGTGATGATGAATGAGGATAATAATTCGTACGATGGCACCGATTTTATGACCTCCTCGGACAAGGATATCTCCCAGTCCTCCTCATGCATGACACATATGCAAGGCGGCAGCGGCGCCGGTGGGGGCCTGGGTGTGCCTGGACCAGAGCACGACTTGCTAGTGCCTCTAGGTGATGGCCTGATGCATCATAAGCTGCTTGGGGCCACACTGGCCCCAGCCATGCCGCTCAGTGTGGGTACTGGCAATGTTTTTGGCAACATAATGGTCAGCTCTGCCGAGCCACCCAGCAGCAAACAGATGAAGGGCTACAGAGGTGGCAACAGCACGAGCAGCTCCACTGTCACTACTGTGGCATCGACAGCCGCCGTGATGCGGGCCCAGCGCAAGACGCGCAAAATCGAGCCTGTGAACAGGCCAGGACTTGTCCTGAAGACACCAATTGCCTACAAGGGCAACATAGATCCATCGGTGATACCAATACAGAAAGATGGCATGGGTAAGGTTTCTCTCTCTCTCCTCTCTCTCTCTGACATACATTTTGAACCTTAGTTTTTGCGTTCGCTTTCTGTTTTATCATTTGGTTTTTGTGTTTGCAAGAATTTGGGTTTGTATGCATATATGGCAGAGGGTTAAAAATAAAAAAAAATAAACCAATATAAATGTTTGAATAAAATAATATTTAACTTATTAATTAATTTAATCTCTTTCTTCTCCTAGCTGTCTGTGAACGTTGCGGTGCCATTGGTGTGAAGCACACATTCTATACAAAATCTCGACGCTTCTGCAGCATGGCCTGTGCCCGTGGCGAGCTCTACTCGTTGGTGCTCAACAATAAAATGGAAACAACAGGAACAGGAGCCAGCACAGCCCACAACAGCAACCAATCGACGAGCAGTTCCCCTTTGCCAGCAGCACCTGGCACTAGTCTGGATGCCACCGATGATGTCCTACTGTCCGCCGATCAGCAACAGTCGGACATTGAGCTGGATCTGCAAGCGGCGCACATAAAGAATGCCAATTATCGTTTTCGCATAACCGATCAATCAAAGATCACACAATTGAATAGTTTTGGCGAGCCCATGGCATTGGGCGGCGATGCTGCAGCTCATAATGTACAGATGGCCGCCGATGAGACAATAGCGGCCTTGAATGGCGCCGCTGTGGGCGATGCAGCGGCCCCGGGTGGCGAGGCCAATGGCAGCAGCAACGACACGAACACAGCCAGCAGTGCATATTTGAGTGCAGCGCCCACGCCGAAAGCTTTGCGTTTGTTCAAGGATGTCTATCCGCAGGATGAACTGCCACAGATACCCAAATACGAACGTCTACCGGCGCCCTGTCCACAAATGGAGAAAATCCTGAGCATCAGGAGGAGAATGTACGATCCGACACACTCGTACGACTGGCTGCCGCGTCTCAACAAGGATAACTTCAATGCGGCGCCTGTGACCTGCTTCCCGCATGCCCCCGGCTGTGAGGTGTGGGATAATCTCGGCGTGGGCATGAAGGTGGAGGTGGAGAACACAGATTGCGATAACATAGAGATCATCCAGCCAGGACAGACGCCCACATCCTTTTGGGTGGCCACCATCCTAGAGATCAAGGGTTACAAAGCCCTGATGAGCTATGAGGGTTTCGATACGGACTCGCATGACTTTTGGGTGAATCTCTGCAATGCCGAAGTCCATTCGGTGGGCTGGTGTGCCACGCGGGGCAAGCCCCTGATACCCCCACGTACCATCGAGCACAAATACAAGGACTGGAAGGATTTCCTTGTGGGTCGACTGTCTGGGGCCCGTACGCTGCCTTCGAATTTCTACAACAAAATCAACGACAGCCTTCAGTCGCGCTTTCGTCTGGGCCTGAATCTCGAATGCGTGGACAAGGATCGCATCTCCCAGGTGCGCCTGGCCACCGTCACCAAGATAGTCGGTAAACGTCTGTTCCTGAGGTATTTCGACACGGATGATGGCTTCTGGTGTCACGAGGATTCACCCATTATACACCCAGTGGGCTGGGCCACCACGGTGGGGCATAATTTGGCTGCACCGCAGGATTATCTGGAGAGGATGTTGGGTATGAGATATTCCCCCGATATATTTCTGAATTATAATTTTTTTTCCCCTAATTTTTAGCTGGTCGCGAGGCCATGATTGAGGTACACGAAGACGATGCCACCATTGAGCTGTTCAAAATGAATTTCACCTTCGATGAGTACTTTCTGGATGGCAAAACGAATGGCTTTATCGAGGGCATGAAGCTGGAGGCAGTGGATCCTCTCAATCTCTCCTCCATTTGCCCGGCCACAGTGATGGCTGTGCTGAAATTTGGCTACATGATGATACGCATTGACTCGTATCAGCCGGATGAATCAGGGTCGGATTGGTGAGCCTTTCAGTAAACCATCAATGAGGAAAATTAAAGCAACCTTTCTTTGTTTATTTGGCTTCTGCAGGTTCTGCTATCATGAGAAATCTCCCTGCATTTTTCCTGCCGGTTTCTGCAGTGCTAACAACATTCAAGTGACCCCGCCAAATGGC